GTACTTGGAAGCCACAGGGGCCAATGACAATCAAATAGTCGTAGCAGCAGGATGCGTGGACTGGGAATTGGCTGCAGGTGGTGCAGTCCCCTGTTGCTGCTGCTGTACGTTCCTGGTCGTGTGGTGGGTTCGTGGTTCTTGGAGTCTGCATCTGCCGCTGCAAGGTGTGGCCAGAAAGGGAAGGATGCAGTTGGGATATGGAATAGTCTGTCCTCCGTGATAACCATACGCTGGTAGGTCTCCTGAGGGCCTTCGAAGTTCCGTCCGTTCAGGGGCCGACTCGGGGAAGAGGAGCGAGGATGAGAATGTCGGAGAGAATGCGAGCGTGGCGGGACGTATAGACGTGGACGTGGGGAGGAGAGGAGGAGGCAGAAGAGATTGGATTGACAATGGCCACTGGCCACTGGCAAGCCGCAAAAGAGATGCGATGCACCATCAGCATTGACCTCTGGGGTTCATTTTGCATCCCGTTGTTGGTCATCCGGATGATGGATCCCTCCCTTCCATCGTCCCCTCCCTCGAGGCTCCGTGGCACCGTGGCTCCTCGACCTTTAACGTGCTAGCTGGCATCGGAGCAATTGCTGTATCCTCCCCGATAGTTGTATCCCTTTGGAGCCTTTGGCCCCCACGGTGGGCGGGAATGACGGTGTTCCATACACGTGCCACTACCATTTCAAAGCGATACTTTGTGCGGGGGCCTCGAAGACACGCTGCATAGAATGATGCTACAGCATGACAGTCTGGTAGCGAAGAAAGTATTCGTCTGTTAACCCTGTCAGCCATTGCCTCTAGTTCGCATACTAAGGGTGATTTGGTCATTTAGTGTTGGACTCTTAAGGTTGTGAGAAACGTCTTCATCTCCCAGGGCAGCCGGTCTGCCGCTGGTGTGTCAATGGCGAAACCGTCATCCTAGATTTGTTGTTTGTCGTCCGTAGTCTTACCGCCATGATGACTTTGATGGCGCTCTGGACCTTTGCCTCAGTAAATTAAGTCGTAAACAAGGGGACTGTTCATACGTATTTTGCTGGTTTTTCTCTTGCGGGTGGGAAATAAACTAAGCTTTGCTCAAGTCACCGGCATGTTGAAAGTGCTTGGGCTTACATAAGGCTGTTTCCAAGGTACCTGCGTGCCTGCCTACCTTGCCTTGCCGTACCTTGCCTTTTAGTGCGCGCAGTTGCTCCTTCACGATATCACCTTCCTTTCGGGTTTATGCAATTCACTCTAGAAAGTGCCGACCTCCCTACCTTGGTAGATTATTCTTTCCGCAATAGACAACGGGACTAAATGTAGCAAGAGGTGCCTTCCATTGCTCCTGCATTTGCCCAACTAGGTTGACGAATTATTGCCTAAGGTACTAGAGACACTGCGAGGCACTTCTTTCTATTCTGCCTTCCTGCAGGACATGAGGCATCCCAAGATCCCTTACTTATGTTGCTGATGTAAGTCCTCCAATCTTCATGCTTCGTGTTTTTTTTTTTTTTTTTTTTGCATCGACTTCAATCTCCGACCACGTCTGATTCTCTGCCTCTGTGTTTTTGGTTTCACTCCCTTCGTGCAGGCCGACTGAACCAGCAAACCGGCACCACTAGGTGCCGTAGGAACCTTACCAACACGGGCACTCACGGTTTCCCACGTCAGCCACGTGTGCAGCAGCAGCAGCAGCATGTTGAGCTGGCGAGATTTGGCTCCAAGGCATCTTCAGACTCCATCCCACACGCCCGCCCCGCGCCCTTAGAGACTTGCTATGCCAATCTAAAGTTTTGGTTCTCGATCCCGACCCGTTAATCTCTTCCTACCTCGACGGCTTTTCTACAATTACGGTCCACGGTATCTGTCTATCTACGGAAGACAGGTCGGTCACGACCAGATGTCACCGGTAACTCAAGCTTCACTGATGTATCAAAGAGGCTGGAACTCTCCGACTCCCATTAACCTTTGACGTATGGACCAACCCAGACCGTGGTCTCGACCGCTCGGCTCCGGAAAGTACCTCGCCCTCCACGACACTACACAACCCTCAAATTCATCCGATAACCTGCCAGACACTCAGAAGCCAATATCAGCAATATATTGTCGTTGCGTAATGTCCCGAATGTCCCGCACCGCTGGCGAGTGACCACAGGTCATCTTGCCTCTCTCCCGAAACACCGGCTTTCTTGAAACATGTCAGTCACGAGTCCGCGTACGACAAACAAATCTACGTATTACAGATCAGTACGGAGCACACACGCCAACTGACTGTTGGAATTTGGCTCTTTGCGCTTGCCCGCCGTCGTCACCCACAGCAGCTCTTCCCAAGCTTCATCAGTATCGCAAGGTTCGAGCCGCCTTGTCATTCGGCTCCATCCTCCTTCAGACATCTCTACATCTTCCACACCGTGCACCGATGCTCCTTCTCCGCACTTGAAGAGACTTGAGTCTTCGAGCTGGCCAACGACACTCACTCAAGAGTCATACTGTTCAACGACTAGGAATCAAGCTGCCCCCTACAAAGTACACGATCAAAACATCTCCAGTTCTCCTACGGACATGCTTCCTCCACCACATCCATGCATGCATGGCACGGGTGCCGTAGCGCTGTGGGCCACTTTCACACACCCCAGATTCCTAACGCCACGACCCAAGGCCTTAATTAATCTCAGGGCCAGGGGTCTCTGCTCAGTTTGCTCCAATCATACCCCTGCGTTCTTCGTCTTCCTGGTCCTCGTCCCTCTTTGAGGTCCTCAAGTCCCAGACATTTGATGCCTCCACTTCAAAAACAGCACTTCCACTTCCAGGACCAGGGCTAGGGACGGGAAAGTGGCCCAAGCGGTGTTCTGAGTCTGGGCCAGCCAGGATCGAATGCCCGTCACGTCAATACAGAGAAAAAGAGAGCTACCTATGGGCACTTGGAATGGATCCATTCGAAACTGGGATCCTCGCCAGTCACGGTCGTCCAGCAAATGCTATCCACGTCCTCCGTTTGCTGTCACATTTGAGATGCTATTCGCGGCGCGTCCACAGCATTCACTCGACGTGTCACTCCTTTATGGGAATGACAAACCCCACAGCGGCTTCATGCGCGAGCAGCTATCGGCTGGATTTTGTCCTTCTGCTGTTGCTTCAGACACTGTCTGCCACGTCGCGCGCTGTCGCACCCATTGGGAATGTGGCACTGGGCTTTCGCCGTGATCTGGCTTTGCCCCCCTTGGCCTAGGCCTGTGGAATCCTACAATACAAAAGAGAGTGGCTAGTCTTGTTAGGTATCTGGCCAGACTCGGTCTAGCACGTTTATGTGTCATGCAGGAGGTAGTACCGCTTCTGCAGGAACAGACTACAGGCACATCCTCCGCCAGCAGGAATCGTGGAATTCGCACACTGAGCCGAGAGCCAAGGCGCCCGTACTTCGTACTGGCAGGCACCTTGGGTTGGGTTAACTATGACCGGACACATGCTACACCGTCTTCTACTCAGCCGTCACTTGCGCCGCCAAATGAGTGCACCATATATCCAGTATAAACATCTGCTTTACAAAAAACGGCAGTCATCACGGCATGACTCTAGGGCGTTGCCTCAACTTCGACGCAAATAACCTCGAGGGACAGTTGTCAACCCAAGATCCCTCGAATCGACGGGCTAGATTTCTAGGAATACTCGCGGGATATTCACTTCTCGGAAGCATCCGTGGTCTAGTGTTACAAGACAGGAAACTCGTCGAGCCCCTTCAATCTCCAATCTCTTCCAGTTTTGTCGCCAATTGCACTCTTGGGAGTTCGAAGTGATCCTAGACTGTTGCGCAAGTCCGAACCCGAGCGCCTGAGAAAACACGGGACTATGCAGTCAAAGACCGCTCACTCCAGCACTCACCATGCCTTCGATGACTCGGGGCAGTTCCTAACCAAGTCATGAGGTCACACAACGCAACTGGGCAATCGCTCGAGCCTCTCATCAGCACCTTTCAATTACATCTCATGGAACAGTCTAGGCTTTGGAAGTTCCCAAAGTTGAGACGCCGTTGAACTGCGGAACAAGCGACTACTGATCCTTGTGTGCAGCCACTTTTTAAAGAAGCCACTGACATGATTGGCACATTGGCAATGGAGAGCTTCCCAGCCTACACAGAGTGAGTAAGTTGGGCAGTCCAGATTTACGTGGGAAAAGCGGTGTCTTTGCTGCAGCTTCTACTTCCACCGATAGCACTGAAAGGCTAGTGGATCAAAAGGGGTCCGTAGAGCAATCGGTCAGGTCGGCAATTTTCTTCGATCTGAACAGGCTCGATGTCCATCCGTAGGGGCAAACAAGCCGGTACTCGAGGGGCAAATACGGCGAATCGACAGACCCGCTCAGAACCGGCATTCCGAAGCAAAATGGCAAGATAATTCTCTTCAGGCCCCTGAGGCTCGCGGGCGCAGACCGTCAGTTCTTTTCCAGATCCGGAGAATCGTCCCCGGTCGTGTTGATAAAGTCGACATTACGGCCTTCAATCAGCCAACGAGAGAGCTCGGAGTGGGATGGAACAAGCAACAGATGGCAGTGAAGAAAGCGGGCCCTTGGAGAGACCAGGCAGGTTGTGATCAGAGGCATAAGAAGTCGATGCCAATTTAAACCGCTGCAGCGGTGTAGACTACGGAGAACGGAGTATGGCCTACGAAAACCCTCTGGCGGCAGTGCAGCTATTCCCGACTGGTGCTGTGGGCGCGAACCAGATGCGAGTACCAGGAAACCCCCTCTCCAGCGTCGCTTTTTCCCTCAGCGCCTCAGCGGCCGTTGTTTCTGGATCCTGATGGCTGGTGGATCCAGCAATCTTAATCCATTTCCATGAGCACATTCGAACCACAGGCGCGAAAGCCAAGGAGCTCAAGGCGCGCAATGAGATCCCACACTACAATCCCGTGAAGTATGAACCGCCACGAGATCCATGTCTAGTACGACGAGACAACACCAGGAAAAGGAGCATGCATTGCGCTTGTCCTGACGTGCCTGGCTTGCACTCGCGAACGCCTCGAGACGCCTGCACGAACTCATGAGCCAGAAGCCGCTCTGAATGGGAGAGACAATTGGTGGCCTGTGCCAGCCGCCTCGGAAGCCAAGCGTTGGGATCGACAGAGCCAGCCAATCAAGCGTGGCGGAAGGGCAAGAGGACTTGGACCCTGAGAAAGAGAGGTGGGAACTTGGCAGCTCGTTGCATTGCAAACTGGAATAGCCCCTCGTCCCATATGCAACCCAGGCGGAATGCCGTCAGGAATTACGATGCTGGTCTTGAATTCACTGCACACAGTCATAGGAAGCAGACAGAGCGTCAAACACAATATGCTACTTTGTCCCAGCATATGGGGTCATCTTGATACCACGCCAGACGGCAGCTCTAGGCCAACCATTGTGCGGTTCAGATCTGCATTGCAGCCCATGTTCAAGGCGGCTTGGCCAAGCATCGGGAAGCTCCAGTTCCGCTGATGAAGCTGCCCGCTACTGCACCTCACCAGCTGCAGCTCACTTTTTGTCATGGTCGTCCGTTGCTGCAGAACACAACAAGCGATTGTTTCGTTCATATGACAAACAGCCAGCTGCATGCGAGGGCTTTGAAGCCTCAGACTACGCCAAGTACCGTAATGACAGAAGATGATTTGGAGTTGGAGAGGTTCTAGTGACCGAGAGAGTGCGAGACCACTATAATCCTTCATCAACTGCAATCACCAAGCTCAACGAGGCCCTTCGTCCGAAATCTTAGCGTGCCATTCGCAGCCTTGTGTTTGATGACCTCAGCCTACGTGGGACTTTTGGCACGCAAGCTGTTCTCTGTTCGCACCAAGAACATTTGAATTTCCTCGGGCCTTGTAACCCTCCACGATCCCAACAAGAAGATGGCGTCTTTGGGTCTCCAGTGGACCCGTGGAAGGTAAGCTTCTCTGCTTCAAAGTTCTGACTTTCTGATAAGTCATATTACATTGGCTTTGGACATTCTCGCCCCTGGATCAAGCCTGGTGGCTTCAGATAGGCATGATTGGCCAATACTGCCTATACCTGGGACAAGCCAATCAGCTCATAGGTGCTTGCTCTGCAGATGTATGTGATGGGGCCGCACAGCTACGTCGGCCGGGCCTATACTGAGGCAATTCCTGGCCCCTACCTCGGTAGGTTTCCATCAACTCGATCCCCAGACTACAAGAAGACTTTCTAACGTCATCTTCAGTCGACAGCCCAGTATAGGAACGGGAAAACTCCTGTGTATCGTCAAGAGGGAATCATTGCCTTTCGATATCTTTAAATGACAAATTTCCAGCAACTGCTCTGTGAACCAAACCAGGATTACTCTACCAAAAGCAATACAGATTCGGTTGACATCCCGACCCCTCAACCTCCCGGGGTCGAATAAACTTGGGACGAAGTCCGCTAGAAGGAAGGTCGGAATTCCGTCAGCTGTGCAGCAGATCAACTCATCAACCTCGTCCTGCAATTCGGGCTATAGCCATCCCATCCAATGACGACTCGGTATTCTCCCGCAAAGTGCGGTGAAACACCAAATCAGTCGCTACCATGACCGCCAGCCATCTTCAGCCTGAAGTCTAGCCGGCGTCGCGGGCATGTTTCAGATCCGCCATCAATCTGAGGGGGAGGGAAAGCTTCTCGTCGCAGATTTTCTCGCTTCACCACCTCGACCGCTTCAGCTAGACTAGACGAAGACACGCAGCACGACTATGAAGAAAACTCATGTGAGCATGTCGATCCCAGTTCATGCGCACTCCTCCTCTCTCGTCCGCTCGCGGAAGAGGAGGGAGCGATTCAAGGCAAACATCATAGGACCACCGCTGTAGCCTGTTAGACACGTTGCGGAAGTTGAGATGATGGGTCCTGGCAATCAGACGGTCCTTCAGTCCCCGGCTCCCAGCTTCCGTCGGTGAGATGGATGGGCCGGCTTCATTGGGCGCAGGACGTCCCCAGACCGAGCCTGCCATTCTCCTACTCGTTGACGCTGTCACGAAGTGTCACTTGTCGCAGACGAAATGCGCCAGGAACATGCCGGCTAGCCGCCGTTGTGCATTGCGGTTTGCTCACTATGCAACTATCGCCATGCGAAGCGATGTTCGCCACGCTCGATGCACACGACTAAACAACCCGAACTTGATGGTCGAGGCGAACCCCTCGAGTCACGATCGAATTCATCGGCAAGGAAACGGCCCCCAATGCAAGCTTTCGTTTTTCCATATCGTCTCTTGAAAGGAAGAGGGAGACAATCCCCCATATGAGACGCGGAGCCCCATGCCGTTTCAACCATGGGAGCGATCCACAATGTTCAGCTGACAACCGCGACGAGCTAGCCTGTCTCGCCATGTTACGAATGAGGTGCCTCGTTCGATGATGGCCTCCACGTCACTTAAGCGCATCTCATCATGCCGTCTCAAGATCCGACTCATCAGCCCATCGAGGTACGGCTGGATGATGATGGGAACCCAGGCCACCTTGATCCTCAACCAGACCTTCTGCTTATCCAGGTGCACCACGTTGGTCTGGTCGGGGACCGTGGGGTTCCGGATCGGGTCCAGTCCGCGGATAAGAGGTTCCGGGACGGGGCCGATCAATCGGCGCCAGTGCCGTTCAACGACGGTCTCCTGGACGCTCTTCCCGCTCTCACCTGCGTCCGCATAGTTTTGATCGATGCCTGTGACCTCGATATTGTACGGCAGGTTGATGGTCCAATGCTGCGTCGCTTCCTATCGATGTCGGCGCCAGTCTACTTGGACATCTGCACCTATCGTCCAGCACACTTCCACAGGTCCTCCGAGTAAGGAAATCAAACCCTGCCGCACTGCCGTCGAATGATATCAGGTATCAAAGACCACATCTTGCCTACGTCGTATATACAGCCCAGACTAGATTAAGTGATCCTCCTATGGCCAAGTCAACCAAGCAACGAGTTCCGCTTTGGTCTCCGCCTTTTACGCAGTAATCTTCGGAGCCGCCGCTGCAGTGCTACGGAGCCCGCGTCCACCGAGAAATTTCCACACTCTTCTTTGGGAGGGCGCATTCGTTCTCATTCTTCTGCTCCGATTCTGCCTACCTGCTCGACAGTGGAAATCGTTTTTTGAGCAGCGAAAGAGGGGGAAGAGAGCCTCAACGTCTCAGTCTTGGCCGGCGTTGTCCGAGACGTCCTCGCCTTGGGTCATTACGGACCGTTTGGTATTGAGTTCAGCCCGCGACTTATGGGTATCTCAAGCTGACGGGGTACCCGCCATTGAAGGCATGCGCATGATCGCAATGATCTCAGCCTGACAAGTCACATGCAGTAGGTCTCAGCATCAACGCATTGGTGTTTGGATATTAGATCTGTAGCACTCGAATGTTGGGCTAGCTGTTGACGGGTTTCCCGAGGTAGTTGCGCGTTGACGCGACCAGACGAATGGACCATCTGCAATACATCATTGGAACTTCCACTTGAAGTTAGGAAGCAAGCCGAACTCCGGGTTCGACACTGCGACGCCAAGTCAATTTTGAAGTGAACCCCCGCGGCGTCATGGTCCACGAACACATGGAGACCAGGGCCGAGCCGATCCGAGCCTGGAAACTTTGTGATGTGCTGCCATGGCCGATGGAGAACAGCGATCACTGCAGGATGACCGAAGTAGGCATCCCGTTCTTCGAAATAGCAACCTTTCTTATCCCAGGAGGGATCATTTACTCGAGCTGGAGCGGCGAGGTTTCACACTCTATCGGAGTCGCGAACACGTTCGCTGCAGGGTTTGCAAGAAGGTTTTGGCAAGGGAGCACGCGATCAGAGACGATCGTGAGGTTCTTGGCCCTCCTGGGGTTCCGAGACAGTGGGCTGGGTCCTGTCAATCGAAGTTCGATGTTTATTGCCGCCCATCGATTGGCGAGACACTGACAGCTCGTCTGCGACTACGACCAAACTCCTTCAAGCACGATGCAGTGTTGCACAGTGAAGGGGAGAAGGGGGGAAACGCCTCAGAAAGATTTCGATGCGCTTGCGCAGAAACAAAGCCAAGCGGTTATATATAGCTTCAGCCCTGCCAACACGGACGGGGCCTGAAAAAACAGTCAAAATCGTGACACGGCGAAGAAGAAATGTAACCTCACGGGCCCGAGGAGACGGGGCTGCCCGGCTGCTTGCGGTTTGGCGTCGTCTCAGGAGCTGATGTAGATGCTCGAAACAGTGCGTTTCGGGACCTTCTCAAAATAGAGGAAGTGCGCAATTGATAGAGAGACGTCGAGACGCCAAAGAAGAACGACCTACTCATTTACCCTGCTGAGAGTTCTTAAACCGCATATAGTCTATTGATATTATCTCAAATCACCATTCATCTTGCCTCACCTTTTTCTCCCAATCACGCGACTTTTGAGACTCGTATCTTTTCAAGGCCGCGTCTCAATCAAGTGCCAAGTTGTTCGTCTTTGTATTGATTGTCAAGCTCCCTTGTTATATTGTATGGCAATCTATTCATACTTTGTGTGGCTCTCTCTTGGACCACGTGCTCCTGCCATTGGAGTTCTCTTTCTTCTCGGATCGGTATCGTCGAATCGACTTACTCATCTACCCTGCTAAACCAATCTATCAACACATGCCAGGTCCACCGTCGCATCTCGATATATCGCAGCTAATTCATTCTATTCTGCCCACTGCCTAGTGCCCGGAGGTCCCTCTAGATGGAGAAAGAAATAGTGGATCGAATGCGAGCTTGAACGGTGGACCAACCTCTCAAGGCTTGTTACGCGACGCCCAGGGCTCGCCGTCGAGAATGTCCGAGTATTTGTCCTATCCGTTCGGCCGGGCTTTCCGAGAACGGGATTGCCGAGTTCTAGATGATTCCCAGCTTGTGGTGATAGCTTCGACTCCGTGATGAAGGGTGGAAGTACCGAGGGCTACATCACGTAGTGTCCGGGAGAGCACGAATGGTTAGGTCGCACACCTCTCTCGCCGTGTCGTCGCAGTCTTGAATACGTAGTCGGTCAGATCCCCTGTGAGGTCGATGTTAGCGAGAAGAATTACACGGTAAGTCTGCGTCGCGGTAGAGGCGGAAAGGTCACCTTGCCTCTCCCGTCGCTGTGCTTGATCAATGTAATTCGACACGATATACCAGTCTCTCTAACACGATGTTCCATTGTTGAGATGGGATGCAAACCCATATCCATCTCACGCGGCTCCAAGACGGATGGGGGAACATGGGCCCGTCCTAGATTCCAAATCAAGTCCGGGCCGTGGTTCAAACGCGATGGATGTCGCTGGATCCAGGCTCTCTGGTCTCCTTAGCTCATTGACGGTGGATGAATAGATATCTCGCCCAACTGTTGGGAGCCGGTAAATTGAGACAGAGCTCACTTCGTACAAGCCCAGTCCATAGACTTCACACATCTTTTCCCAGAGCCAGTCGGAAGCGTACAATTCGACTCACGTCTAACCTTGAACCATCGTCACAATCACAAGAATCAACATCTCACGAGTAGTGTCGACCACGGGTGATAAACATGACAAAGAGACGCCTCGCCCACGCTGTTTAGTAGCTAGTGACTCAGACGGAGTGAGCTTCGTGCGAGCCATGAATTCTACACGCCGTATCATATAGGGGTTGGGTGAGTTGGTAGCATGCAAGGCCAGCCTTGAAGTGTAGACATTAGCCTCAGTTCGAGAGCGTCAAAGGAACCAGTCAAGAGGACGCAACAGGAATATGCAATTGTAAGAGCGGCTGTCATTTCAGAATATCATCATACGTTTCTCTCTATCATGACATATATCCCAGCACTGCTTTCGCTAGTCATCGCTTTCCCAAACTAAATCCCAGATATCAAGTCATAAATATGGAAAAGATTCCATTCCAGCGGCGTCGCACCGTCTCATCGTATCAAGAAACCTGGTAACGCCGCGAGATCATAACCGCTTAAATCATCGCCAGACATGTATCAAATCAAACAAACAACCTCCCAAATAATATTCCAAACATTCGATCCAAACACACAGTACCTGAAAACAAGGCCCGAGTCAAAGCACAACGATCAAGGCTTCACCGCCTGTAGCTGTAGTCGTTGTACTCTCTCTCCCTCCTCCGGTCGGAGATGGTAACCCTCATCCTCTCCTCTTCAGGGGGTGGCGGCGGCGGCAGCATCCTGGGCGGCGAGTACCTTCTACCCTCGACATAGCGGAACGTCTCGTACCGCGGCTCAACGGGGACGGGGACGGGGTAGGGCACCCGGACGGGTACGAGCTTCTCCCGCTCAACGTACACCTCTCTGATATCCCTCTCCCTGTCGCGGCTGCCTCTCCGCGAGTGGCTGTGGCTCCTCGACCGGCTGCTCCTGCTTGACTTGCTGCTCTTCACCGAAGGCTCGACGTCAACTGCGATGACCTCGATGGGTGGCAGGGGCTCCGGAACGACAACGGGTGGCGGCGGCGGCGGAGGCGGGAGGGGTAGAACGACGGGCGGTGGGGGAGGCGGAGGAGGCTTGACAATCACGGGCGGCGGCGGGGCGGGCTTGACGATGACGGGAGGCGGGGTGGGCTCGCGAGCCGGGATGAATGTGGTCTTCTTTGTGCGGACCGTGACGGCGCCGTTGGTGGGAGGTTCGAGATAGAGGCGCTTCTTTGCGCCGTGGTGATGGTGGTGGCGGTGGTGGTGGTGATACTCGTAGTATTCCTTTGACGAGGCTGTACGATGCATGGTTAGTCATTTGTGTTTACGTAGACCTGGCGCGAACGTTGCGACAAACGTTGACGTCAGGTATTTTGGGGCTTACTCGTACCCATTTTGGACGGCTGGATTCGTGCCAAGGGGATTTTTGAACGTATAGATGTTTCTCGACTGTGCGCCTTTTCGGTAGCCTACACTTTTTTCGGTGCGAGTGTCGTGATGCCGAGAGGGAAAGTTGGTTGGGGTTTGGTTATTTTGGGTTGGTTTTGAGTTGCGGGTAGACGCAGGATGCGTCGTGGACCCGAGGATGGGATGAGGTGTTGCGCGTGTTGCGTGTAGCGACCCGAGGGATGTGCGAGATGCGATATGCGGGAATGCGATCCGCTAGACGACCGTTTTTTGCGACACAAGTGATGTGCAGAGCGCAAAGACCGGGTGAGGGAAAATCAGATGTTGATCACCTGGCGCGGGGTGGGCTGGCCTTTTCCTCTACACTACCTACTGTCGGTAGGCACAAAAAGGGAGCCAGTGGCGAACGAACGGGTGGGAGAGAAGAAAGCGTTGGAGCTAAGTAAAGGTGTCGCGGTGTCAAATGTCGGTAAGCCAGCGGCGGCGGCGGGTTGTAGTTATGGTTGTGGTTGTGGTGGGAATGAGAAGAACAGAACCAGTCCCTTTCGTCTGGAGTGTTGGCGGGCGGGAGATGCGCTATTCATATAACACTCATCCCACACCAACAACGAAGAGTCTAGGCTCTCTGGCTCGGCTGCAAGGAAGGTACGCATGCACGGGGGTGGGAAGGAAAGGGAAGGGGAAGGGACGGGAGTTGGCAGATGGCAGGTTGAATCAAGGTCCTCGTCGCTTCCGTAGAAGGGGGGAGGGGTGACTGGACTGGGCCTGCCTACCTGCCTGCCTGGCAGTTGCCCCTCCTTCTGCAAACCAACTAATGGGAAAACACCATGAAATTGGCCTGTGAGAGAGTTGCGCTGCGGTATTATCATGCACCACCTCTCACCCTTCTCAGCTTGGCTGGTTGGGTGTGTGTCAGCCCAAGATCAAAACCGCCCACTGCCCAGCGGGAAGGGGACATCCACGCAGGCCAGGCTGCCTTGCACCCATCTTCCCCCTTCAACTACTCCGTCCACTCGGGTTCAGCTATCCGTACTAAGCCACAACCAAGCCAGAGAAGCAAACCCGCATAACAAGCACATGGACGACGAAGCTACGAATTACACTACAGCACTCCGTAAAAGCCCACAGTAGATCCGGGACGGGAGCGCCGAGATGCTACATAGATGGACGCACGTACGGGCACGCAAGAGTGGATGTGAGCATGCACGGGTATGGAGAAGTATTAACCCCAAAGAACAGAGACCAGATATTCGAGAAGAGAGAAAGAGGCGCACGCAAAACACAGCCTGGACGTGTGTTACTTGACATGCAGATGGATACTGTATACAATCATTCATTGGGTGAAATAGTATCTAGAGCCAAGGTACTGTGCAGCAACAACTCCAATTCCAAAACTCCAGATGGGCCACCTCATGCGATTCCAACCTTTTTGCACCAGTGTCAAGTTCAACCCAACCCATCCAAAACATCCCATCACTTCCTTCCCTTCCCTTCCGCTCCCCTCCCTCCTCTTTCCTGCCCCTTCCTTAGTACCACAGATGCACCTGCCATGGGAAGTTCTCCCGCCCTCCATTCCGTCCTCTGGTCTGGGACTTGGGAGGGGAGGTGGTCGGCTGTCACCTGGCACCTTCCTTCCCATCGTGTGGCAGACAAGGGTGCGCCATTGGGCAATTGAGGCCTTATGACGCCAGCGGGCACGTCACGCCAGAAATTGGGAAAATCAAGTTGTAAAACCCCGAGGCGGTCGACGTTCGGTACGTATACTCGAACATTGACCGGGATCACTGGGCACGCGGCACGTCCACTCCCTCCTCCCGGCCTCGGCCCCAAGTTCCCAACCACTCAGATGCTCAGAACAGAGGGAGTAGAGAGCTTTCTATCCAAACCTTCCAAAGAGCTAAGCTGTGCGCAACATGCTCCCTCCTTGATCGCAAAGCGCCGCACCAGCAATCACCAAAAGAGAAGGGCAGAGCTTCCAGACCACTCATTCGCTCGACTCACTGTAGCCGCCCTACATCTCCAGCTGCACTCTGCGCACTCTGCACTGCTTCACGGCGTCCGGCACCTGGTCCTGTCCGTAAGACGGAAAATTGAAAATTTCAAGGATGTTATCGTAACTGTCATGTCGTCGTGCATGTCTCTCCGCGGCCCTATCATCAATAGCCCGCCCACAGATCCCAACAGGCTGGGGATGCCAGACCACAACCGGGGAATCTTCCAAAACGCTTCCATCCTTTGAGTTCTCAGCTCTCCCCCCATCTCGGCCATATCTGGGCCATCTGGGGCCACCCCTGATCGTGGGGTTTGCAGGGCTGAGCTTGTCAGATTGGGTTCTGTGTGTGAGCTGGCAGTCGCACGTCTCCGCTCCATTATCCTTCTCGTCCCAACCTTCTTTTTTCTTCCCTCGCCCAAGCGTAGCGTCTGTGTCCGGCTTTGTTCGTCGGGCTGCAAAGGAGGCAACACTTCTCTCAGATCTACTTTCCCCTTCTGCAGGACAAGAGACCACCTTTCGATGCGTGTATGCCGGTAGACGAGTAGCGGAAGGGCTAGCTGGCCTCAAATCTCCGTTGGGCGCCCATCCCACGATGCCAAGCCGATGAGCCAACACCCATCCCCAATCCATCGATCGTCCCCATCCTGCCGGCGCCAGACTGGCAGCCCAATCTTTGACGTGCCTTGGGTGAGTGTGTTCGGCGATTCGTGAAGCACCCGGCAGTCGAAGAATCGACAATCTAGGCCCAACCACTTCCACAAAGAAGACCCTTGCACCCAGGGTCCTGGCGCCGGCTCGGGTGCCCCCGAGCTTCCTGGCTTCGATCCAAGGCAGTTGCACTTGTCAGACCAGGGCCGTCATGTAGTGCAAGGTAGCTGGTGGTGTCGTGCTGTTGCCAGAGGCGTACCGCGGTATGCGTCCCGCAAACTCACGTCCGTTGGCTTCGTCGTCTGTCCAGCCGCCTCGTGAAGCTCTGCTTGGCCAACATTGGCCGACTATACACGGCCCGCGGAGCATTGATAACCTCGATACCGGCATGCTGCTGGTAGCTAGGCTTCTCGGACATGTCCCCGCTACTGTACGATGAGGCGGGAAATTTTGTGCCCACTCTGTCGTCGCCTCGCACTTTTCTGAGCACCCAGTCGACGAGGTGTCCTATCTCGCCCATCCACCACAGACCCAGCACAATCGTTAAGATGGTGACGGGTATCGCGGTAGCCCAGTACAACCACTGCCCGGCCTCCATGTCTCGGATGTCGCTAGAGTTCATCCCGAAGACGCTCGAGACGGCGCTCAGAGGCAAAAAGATAATGGTGACAATAGTAAAGGCATAAATCGCCTGCTCTTGCCGGTCCTTGGTCACCGCGGCATTGTTGAGGTTCTAGTTCAACTCGTTAGCGTGCTCATCCCAGAATCTAAGATGTCACAAGCGGTCTCGAACAACTACTCACCGTCTGTTCCAAAACGTCAGCCTGTTCAGCATACTCTTCAAAGTCCCTGCTCCGCCGCTCAAGTAGCTGCGTGCACTCCGCCGCCAGGAGATCCCTGAAGCCAGCCGCGTCCGTGGACGGAAGCTTGTAAAAGTCGGACACCTCTGCACTGGCAGCCATGACCATGGGCTCCAGCAGCACCTGCACGTCTTCGTCATCGCCGGCGCCATGTCTGCCGCTGCTTCTACCCATCCGCAAATGAGGCTTGAGAGAAGCTGTTTCGCGGTAGTTGGCTGCGGCGACCTGAGTTCGAGCCGATCGGTGAAGCTTCGCTGCTGCGGATGAACCTTCTTGACGAGAGGCTAGGATAGAGCTAAAGACACTGTTTTGCGCTGCAATTGCGCGGTTAATCACGCTCAGTTCCTGGCGCAAGAAGTTGATCCGTTGCTGGTACGAGATGTCCGACTGCCCGTTTGCAATCTCGTTTTCCTGCCCGCAATGTCAGTGCATGATACAAAAGTAGATAGCCCACACACCACGAGTCACTCCAAACTTACCAATGATCTGAGATACTCTGAATAAGTGTCCGTAATTCCCGCATACTTTCCAGACGTGTTGGACAAGAGGCCGTAGCTGATCAGGGACACCACCTCGAGCGGGAGGACGGAAGACCGTTCCAGCAGATTAAGGCTTGACAGCCGTTCCATCATGTGCTTCATGCCGTTCTTGACCAGCGTGTCCGCTACCTCCAGATGGTCCTCCCACATGTGCGTTTCGTGACTCGCGTAGATCAGGCCCATGACCAGATGAAGCCAGGCTCGGATCAGCTCCAGCGGAACGTCGATATCCACCCGGTCTGTGGGTTCGGCATGGGACAGGATGCTCTTGAAGGCGATGACGGGGAGGGCCATTTGGCGCAGTGCTTTTCTGACCGTGGGGGCATTTGCGTAGACGGCTTCGCGACGTATCTTGTCGAGGTTGTTCGGATGAGACTTACCCTCGGTGGTCTGGGGCTGAGGAATCTGAAAGCCGTTAGCATCTAATAGGGGCTCATAAGACAAACAATAGCCTTACTCTGACCAAGTTCATCACGGCACCCCAAAACCTCTCCGTTGTCGGTCCATCAAACAATGGAGGCAAGAAGAAGCGGAACAAGGAGTCAGCCGCGTTAAAGATATCAACACGCTCGTCATAATCTTGCTTCTTCCACAACTTCTTCGTATCCTGTATCTGCGCCCCCTGCTGCTCGAGGTACTCAAACACTTCATTTCTCGTCGACATCTCAGCCTCCAGATAAGCCCGCCGGTCTGGCCCGTTGGTCTCAGCCGTCAGGAACTCCTCGACTTCGGACAGCTGTTTCTGAAGGACGATAAAGTTGGGACCTTCCATTGGGCTGGGCGATCTTGCTTCGGCCCAGCTGAATGCGTGAAACATCTCGTTGGTCTTGTTGGACTGTCCCGGTGGGAAGCTCATCCGGTTTCCAGCTGAAGATCTGGGCAGCTGTAGGCCACCAGACGATTGCCCTACATTGCAGCTCAGGCCTTGTTTGATAGGTCTCAAAATGCCGCTTGGCGGTAATTGTGGTGGTGTGCTATAAATTTATCAACCCAATGCTCTTATTGGAGCGAGTTCACGGAGACTTACCATGTTTCCATGCTGATCACGACATTCCTGCGAGAGGTCCTGGCAAATTGAAGCACCTTCCACCAACGCGCTTCCGTCAAAAGACGACCGTTGAAGTGGAAACGGACCGCCTTTGGCCAGAAATCGGCAAAGTGCGCAATAAACGCAAACCAGGTTCTGCACTCCTCGAGAGGAAACGACCACATCACCGACTCGCCGTGCTGGATAAGTATTCGTCCCGTGTCTGCGCCCAAGGTCGGATCTCTCGCCGGCTCAGACGTCATCGTGACAGTCTCGCCGCGCAGGGCTTCTTCGTACATGGAACCGCAGGTGATGAGCAGCGAGTTATCCAGGACGATACACCACAGCTGTCGAATGTGGAAGCACATGTCTTTCCCTCCGTTGCCAATTTGACGCGTCGCCTGGAGCATATCCCGTTTCTGCGAGTTCCTTGAGAACGCTAACTGCAGCAGCGTGAGGGGTGGGTATGCTCCCGGGTTTCCCGTGGCCAGGATTCCAGAATACTCTTCGAGTGAAAAGTACGGGATGCAGAGCCAAGTCACGGAACGCTTTCCTGTCGCCGAGCCTTTGGCTTGGTCTCCTCCGCGTTGGAGGGGTAGTTCGAGGTGGCTGGGCTCCATGTGCTTGACCGTCGTGTCGCGAGAGGTGCGGATGGTCTTGGAGTAGTTTTTCCTCACATCGGAGAGCAGCTTGCGGACGTCATTTTGTTCCGACTCGGAGAGTGCGCGAGAAATCTCATTCTACTCAGAGTTAGCACTTGTCTCCTAAGATTGGTGGTTTAAGTAAAGACTTACAGTAAACTCGTCAAAATTCATCATGTCTTGCTGTACATGCCTATAAGATGGTTAGCATTCCGAGGACACTAAAGAACACACACACCACTTACAGCCATCTAAACAGCGATTGCCGCCTTCTCTTGGTGTCATAGACAACATCCAAAGCAGCCGAATGCACACCGCCCAGGACGCCCTCACCGGTGTACATTGACTGATACACATGAAGCGCCGTACTCAACGGCGGCTCCTCCCCTCTCAACGTAGAGTCATCCGAGAACGGGATATCCAAATCCGACCCATCATCGTCTCTAGCCGGGTCGGACGACGAGCGCGCCGGGTCAAAGGCATACACCTTGCCCGACGTCTCCTCCAAATCGACCCAGTCCTCAACCTCCTCGACGGGAGTGAGGTACTCCTGGCCCGTAAAGTCTGGCGGCATCGGGAATCCGTCTAGGTCGAAGCTCTGCTCGTCCGACTCCGTGCCCTCGTTGGCGATGATGGACGGCACGGGTACGATTTCAGGTTCTTGCGGTGGTGACTGCTGCCTCGTCTGCATCTGCGCCTCTTCTGGTATCGCTGTAGGGAAGACGATGTTCTGCTGCTGGGTGTTTGTGGTGGTAGTGGCGGGCATATCATACACCACGGGAACAGAAAGCGGCGTCTTCGCCCGTCTTCTGGGAGCATACGATTCCAGAGGTGATGTAAAGCGCTCAAGTGGTGATGATGTGAACCTCTCCAAAGGTGACTGGAATCGCACAAATGGCGAAACGACCCTCCGGCTCCTCTGACTCCGTTGACTCCCCTGCCGTCCCGGGGCTCTGGGTGGCGGGGTGGGCGGCACAGGTTCGTAGATGGGATCCCCCTTGCGGAACTCCTCAATCAGCTGGACGAGGTGTGCCGTTTGAGCTTCTCTGCTGCTGTACTGGCTCCTGAGGCTCTGGGCTGAGGCTCTGCTGCTGTTGCTGTAGGGGAAGAGGGACTGGCCTCCCCGTCGGCGAGGTTGGGGTGAAGGTTCGTACTGTGACATCGTGAAGGTTACCCTTCGCAAGAGCCGGGTATGATACGGTGGGTGGCCTTGCTGTTTCTGTGCCGTAGCACCGTGTAAAGTCTGTCGGTTTGGTGTAAGTGCCGTTTGGTGGGGTTTCCCTTGGACCCTGGTATTAATCGAGTGGTGATAATATTTTCTCCTTCTCCAAACGGCAAGGTGGTATTGGATATCCTTTAATTATCGATAGATTGCAAAATAAGCGAACGCCTCTTTAGATCGGCGGCGCCCCCGAAACCAAGATGCACCACTTATTAAATAGAATGCTTGCCATGACTGTCCAGTACTATGTAATAGCAGCAAATCACCATGGCAAAATGCAACCTACCCAGCCCGGCCGAAGAGACCACCAGCCACCCGGTTGTTGCAACTCAAAGGAGGCAGGGCAGGGCCGACACTAAACACGGGGCCCGCAAGCGCCGTTGCCCATCACCTCAGTTACTGCCGTTACTGCCATGGCGCCAGTCTGAGCGCTGGGCCGTTGGTGGCTTTTTGTGACTTGTAGGGGGATGCCACGGCAGGTACAGAGGGCCGTGAGCCTGTGAAGGGCCAAGCAGACGCCAGGAACCGTCAACCACTGCAGGTTCCCACCCACGCCGCACAGAGGATGGAGACGGTAGAACACGTTAGCGGCGGTGGTTCTTGACTTGCCCCGCCATCTTCAGCGGTGAAGAGACGGGCCCGGGAGGCCCCAGCTTGCAAAATAAGGCTGATTGGCACTAAACGTGCTGGGCCCAGCCACTGCCGGGGCGACGATGCAGGTGGTTTCCCTGTAGCTCAGACAGACGCTCATCTCACCTCACTCTTAGCTTCTTCACTGAGTACCACATTCTTCATAGCCAGGATTGTCACATTCACGTCAAGTCACGCGTTGCTGGGTGTTGTGCTCAGATCTCTTATTATTAGTGTCTTCTTTTGAAGACGAGAGTGTCCGAGTTCTTTTGATGCATCCGAGTATCCGTAAACCGAGATTCCTCAACTCCAGACTTGTAAACCAGGGGGTATCGTGAAATGAACCTGTCCCAGAACCGGAAATCGAATGGGTATCTGCTTTTTCATAACCATAACCATAACCGTAACCGTAACCGTGGCTGACCATGCCAAGAGACGAAAAGTGAAAGTAGAGCCAGCAAGCAAGCTTCTCAGTCCATGGTGTCCACTGGGTGAATGGGTACCTCCTCCAAGGTCCCGTCACATTCATACACCTCCAAACAGAATAGAAAAAAAAAAAAAAAAGCTGTCTGGTGCCGAAAAAATCATGTCTTATCTTCCATTCGCTTGAAGGACTGGTCCAGGAGGTCCAATCTGCGAGATGGTTTTGAGCAAGTCAAGTCATCCGTCTGTGTATTAGCTCTTGCCGCGGAGGATCAAGTAAAGTCGAAAGCCGCAATGATGGAGTGCCGTAATCGCAACAAAAGAATCTGTGGTCAATGCCGAGAAACGAAGATTTCGCGTCCGTATTGCCAAAATGAAGTAATCCGATTTGAAGCATGGTAGCGAGAATATCGATGTCCCAAGTGGATCCCAAAGGTTGATGAGTATCCAGCAAAGGCAAGAAAGGGCTGTACCATCCAGGTAAGAAGAAACTCAAAGCTCGGTGCTTATTCGGTCAAGGCTGTCATCTTAGCCAGTGAACGGGTAGCCGGGATCGATGCCAAAGCCAGAAAGACGACGGCACATCTCATCGACGGACTCCTGATAGAACGGAACCATCGCGGGACCAGACAAGGCAGGACGCGAGGAAGGACCGGCAGGGTTAATGGGCTCTTCGTAGAAGAAGTGGCTCTCATTCATCTTCTCCTCAACCCACTCCATGTTCTCGTCAAAGATCTTGGGGAAGTCGGGAAGCAGACCCTCGTAGTAGAACTCCTCCCACTCGGAACGCCAGGGGAACGGAAGGCCCTCCCAGAGACTCTGAGTCAGCGGATTGAAGCTAGGCTGGCGGCGCAGAAAGGGGAGCACGACGGTCGCCACCTTGGCAAAAGCCACTTTCATGGGCTTGAGCTCCTCGTTGAGGGGGTTGTCGAGGTACAGATGGATAAGCGCCATCCGGAAGGGAACCTCGAATCCAGCCATCTTATTGAACTCTTTGATCTGGTAGTAGAAGTACCGGCCGCCGAACGCGACGCGGTACATCTCGTACGCCTCCTCCATGTTGTCAAGCTGGCTCTTGAGCATTGACGAGACGCCGAAGCGGTACGCCGGGCCATAGAACATGACGTTGTTGATGACAGGACGGGTGTCCCAGATACAATCCCGGTTGATTCTGTGGCCGGGGAGATCTGCCAACATTCGAATTAGAGAATAATTGAGAAAGAAAGTCCCAACAGTTACTTACCACCGTTGTAGATGAAGAAGATGACCGGGCTGAGGTACGCCATCGCGCAGTCGCTCAGGTCGAGGTGGGTCTTGCCGTCCTGTTCATCAACCGAAAATATCAGAACATTGCAATCTTCCATCGAACCTCAATAGCAAACTTACCTCGTCGGCAGGAGAAAGGAGCCCCGCCAATCTGGTGGCCTCGGAGGTAACGATGTCGCGATGACATCCGATCACCGTGCCCTCACGGACATGGAGGAACAAGTTATGGGTCTCTCTTTTCAGGAGGAGCCTGGAGTAGGAAGAAGAAAGGAAAGTCAACAATTTGTTTCATTTTTCCGCATCTTGATGAGCCTCAGACTTACCCAGCGCGGTGGTCTCGCTCGAGCGAGGCGATCATGGCTCTTCTGAGCGCCTCGTCCTTAGCCGAAGCCTCGGACCAGGCGACAGCCACCTCTTCTTCGGTCGCGGTCGGGATTGCCGGTCCCTTCCCCTTCTCTTCCTTCCCCTCGTCCGCCGGGAGAGGAACGTCGGCCGCGTCGATGACGGCAGGATCAGCAGCCACGTCAGGAGCTGCGGTTGAAGACCCTCCGACCACCGAAATGGCCGGAATCTGCGGTAGCAACCACTGACGAGCTGCGTCCTCCGCCGCCTTCTTCGCAGCGAGCTTTTCTTGTCGCTTCTGGTTGACCATCTCGGCGGTGTTGTCGGCAATGGAGGAGGAGGTGGTAGTAGTATCACGCTTGAGGATCGTGATAGTTGGAGGAGAAGAGGAAGATGGGTAATTGCTCTCCCTCAAAAGGGAAGAGGCAACACCAAATTCCTCCGCTCCTCCCACCACCGAGACGGGGCCAAAAGAAGAAGAAGAAGAAGGGCAAGGGCTTTCAGCCCGTGAGGCCGCAAGATCCTGCCCCTCCCCCTCCTTCACCTCCTCCCCAGTGTATCCCGTGAGGGATGGGAAGTCGGCGGCAGAGGGCAGAGGGGGAGCCGGATGCGGAGGGGGTTGCTGGTTGACCAAGACCTCTTGGCGCAGAGGACTGGGGCTGGGCGTTGTGCCCGTGGCAGCGATCTGGGCCCATGAGCGAGGGGCCATTGTGGTGGTAGTGGTGATAGTGACTGTTTGTAAAAAGCGCGCAAAGGCCGAAGCAACTAGATGGGTGTTAACAATCTGGAAGATTAGGCGAGATGGAAATCTGGTAGAAAAATCTTACGGGCATAAGATGTGATGGATAGTTGGTGGTGATGTTGTTGCGCGCGCGAGAAAAAAAGACCAAACAGAGGTGAAAGGAAAAGGGGAAGGGAAAGGGCCCAGGGTCAAGAACATACCTTTTTTGGCCAACAGCCCTATACTGTAATGAAGCAGAATGTGCCTTCGCTCACACCGCCACTGAGGTCGCTTGGTAGCGGTACTGAAGTATTCAGGTGATGATGTGGTGTGTATTCCAGTCTCGACTATTCATCCTTCACTTCATCTCACTCAGGTGTCTTGTTGAGGTATTGATGAGATGAGCCGCACCTACCTCAAGAGATGTGAGCAGAAAGAGCACTTTGTGTGTTCTAAAGAGCAACAAAACTAGCGAAAACTGGATTTGTTATAATGGACAGTTATTCTCTTGAGCTGACAAAAGGGTTCTTGTACCCGAACAGTTTCTTTCTCCTTGAAGATCTCCACAACAAGGTCATCCAAGCCTCAGCTGAGGAAGCTGGAATGGAGACCTGGTATGGGATGTGTCGAAGCCTCATAATATGCCATGCTCCAGGGCCTTGTGCAAAGATTATCGACCGTGAGGAGGAACTTGGCCCCTCATCTCTTGGAGGGAGGGCATGATACAGACAGAAGCGTTGCCGAATGCTAGACCACTAGGCAGCAACATGGCACATAAAGATATCCAAGAATTTCCTTGATCGAGCAAAGGCTTGGGGTCTTTCATCGCGGTTTGTTTGTTCAAGACAAACCGGCATATATGTCTAGGGCCTTTGTCAATTTGGGGTGGCACTCTATATATTCGACCCATGGGATACTCAAAGGCTGAAGGCAAGCAAAGAACAAGCGCTGAACACATATCCTCCACAACTCAATAACTTCTAATTACTTGTATGAGGCTAGCTCAAGCCACTTCCGTTCCCGCTGCAAGGGGTAATCTTTCTCCGATCTTGCTAAGGCGCGAAGAACATTCCTCGAAGTTGCTACCGCTCAGAGACAGCGATGTTTCCTTCTTTCCGTTTGACGACCATCATGACTTGTATAACCAATGGGATGGTTGAGTTGAATGAGTAAAGCAGTTGATGACAGGCTGAGAATGGATTGAAGTAGGATGACGTCTTTAAGGTCAAACCGAAGTTGAGCAAGTTGCCATGTCGTTGGTCGTCTTACATAAGCGGCCAGGAGAAGGACATTGACGCACATTGTCCGGCCGAAACCGAAGTACCTTGTCCACGAATACCTTAATGCAGGTCCACTCCCGCCCGTCCTCTCTGCCGCAGCTTCTTGCAACACCTCAAGACTTAAGAATGCAAAGCTCGCTGGCCCGAAATCTCTGGGGCATAGGCGATGTAAGGTGAAAACTGACAATGGAACTAACCAAGCCCCCTTGGTCTCATCCCAAAACCGAGTCGTGCTAGCTGGCAATTGAGTTTCGTGCCACAGTCCTCCAGCGGCCCGCCGATCTCCGCGGCACTCGATTCCGTCACCACTAAATGCCCCTCCCGCGCGGTGCCTTGAAGTGGGGGCCCTTGACGGATTGTAGCTCTCTCCTTGGGCCGAAAGCTTCGGCCACCGGTTTCCTCATTTGAATAAATGGGGAACGCGGCATCATCATCAGGCCCGAGAAACGTAGCTTCAGCCCCTAGCTTTCGATCATGATTAAAGGAACCATAAAACCCAGCAACATATCGCATTCGTTCAAAATGTATCGGCGTATAAGAAAGACGATACGAATGACTACATCGATCACCTGAAAGCCAAACCCTTTCAATTCTCGCAAAGTCCACTTACACGAACCATCATCTTATACTCAGCCCGATCTACCTATCAAAAATGAGCTCCGCACAAGGCAACAGAGCCCTCTGGCTCTCATCCTACTCCAAACCCCTCGAAGTAATCGACCTCCCCATCCCAGACGCTCCCACAGGCACAGTCGTCGTCAAGATTCTCGCCGCGCCCATCGTGCCCTACACGCACCTCGCCCACACCGGCAAGCTCCCGCAGCTCAACGTCCACCCGCCCTTCGTCCCGAACCCCAATGCCATCGGCCGCGTCCACGCCGTCGGCCCGGATGCCGTGCGCGTCAAGCCTGGTGATCTCGTCTACGTTGACGCCACTACCCGCGGCCGCGACGACCCCGTTAACGCCATGGTTATGATCGGTCATCTCGGCGGCGTGGGCGACGCGGGGCAGAAGTTGATGAAGGAGTGGCGTGATGGTTCGCTGCAGCAGTATCAGAAGGTGCCTCTCGAGAACGTCTACCCTCTCGACGAGAAGCGCCTCATTGGTGAACTTGGCTACGACTTTGCGGCGCTGAGCTCTATCGCGCATTACTCCGTTGCCGCCGGCGCCCTCCTCGAGGCAGCAGACATCAAAGTAGCAGAGACCGTGGTCATCGGACCCTCAGGTGGCTCCTTTGGCGGTCTAGCCGTCGAAGTCGCTCTCACCGTCGGCGCAAACGTCATCGCCCTGGGCCGAAGCGAATCCAAGCTTGCAGCAATGCGTACCAAGCTCGGCGACAACCCTCGTCTCAAGACGGTGGTGATGACAGGTGACGAAAACATCGATGCGCAGGCGATCCTCGCAGCCACGCCCAATGGAGCCGGAGCCGACGTTTTCAACGACTGGACGCCCGGCGAGCTCAAGAATCCGCCGTACCTCGAGGCCGCGGTGCGCACCCTGAAGCGCGAGGGAAGGGTGATCCTCAGCGGCGGCGCGAGTGAGACGCTGACGATACCGTATGCTGTGTTTGGGCTCAAGAATCTGAAGTTGATTGGCAAGTGGATGTGTGAGCGGCCGACGCTGCTGCAGCTGGTTCGCATGGTTGAGGGAGGTCAGCTGAGGATCGGGAGGGAGAGCGGCGCGGAGATCAAGATTTTCTCTTTGGATGAGCATCATGAGGCGACGGAATTTGCGAGGGACAATGGTGGATGGAGGAATTACACTGTCATTGCTCCCAACGTGGAGTGAGACTTGTCTTTTGAATGATAGTCACCCTGCTTCGTTTCGCGGATCACTATCTCGGATCGGTAAGAATAGCCAACTCCTCATTTCATACTCAATGTATCGTTTTCAGGAGAGGAAGAAAATATTTATTGATGAGATAGACCACACATGTTCCTTGATAAATCTTACGATTTCATGACAGAAACTGGTTCTTGGCTTCTTGAATGAGTATCGTGTAAATTTGTGAAGATGACGCATGTCCATCACGAACAAGGCTCACTGCCTGCTTGTCTCCAAGACCGGGGGATTTCATAAATGCCTGTTCAGGAGGATACCTAGACCACCTCGGTCCTTAGAAAAAAACCTGGTCGTCAGCAAGGCACTATATGTGACAGGATTGGACAATTGCGAGGCGTCAATCCCGTCTCGTCATGATTGGCCAACCATCCCCGGTCTGTTTGTCCATAGGTCGGAACGTCTTCCCCCACGCGCGGACGTTGCGGCTACTTGCATGTAGGGTTTCAGTCTAACCGGCGTGACCGACCTGTTCTTCATGTAGGAAGTGCTGGAGATAAGACGAACTGAAAGTGCGGCTCATCGATTCTGCATGAGCTCACACAGACCTGTTGCTTTCGATTACGCATCTCTTATTCCGTTGGTTCCGGATGGTGTTCTCATCAATTCGTTACAGGCGATTAAGTGTAGATAGATACTTGTGTCGTTTCCTGCCTTCCATCCGCTTGTCTCTCATGTTAGAGCATTTGCGGCAAGGCCCTCGACGTGACCTCCTTGTAAGGATTTCGCCCTACAACTAATTTCATGGCATCGCGGAACCTTGAGTTTTCATACACATAATCTATGATGAATGTATCTACGGATACAGCCCGTTACGTCTATACTTGTTACCCATCACATCTCAGTAAGAGTGAGGTGAGATTCGACTGAACTGAAGGTCAGTGCGTCGGCCGCGGGAAGTGAGATTGAGCCCGCAGTGATGGCTCCCGGCCGGTCACTAACGCGTGTACCTGGGTGAAGATCCCTGCTCCCGCTCCAGCGTGACAAGGAGAGGGGCGGTTTCTTGAGGGGCCTTACTGGGCTGCCACGCTGCTTGAGGTAGGTACCTAGACTTGGGGTACAGGAACGTTGGCCCGCACCTGCTGAATCATTGGTGCTTCGGAAATAGAGGTACCTAAGTATCAAGGTACGGTGACAAAGGTCCCTACCAGTGCCTCTGAACCTTCTAAATTGGGCGGGAGGGAGGGGCGAACCACAGGAAGCGATCCTTCCTTCCCCAACCAGGGCAGTCAACCGAAGGGTGGCAAGCACCTTAATTCCAACCTTAGGTAACCTCGCTGGATATCTCCCGCACTCATCTCGCCTTTTTCAACTACATCTCTTTGCCAGGCCGACCGTCGTGGGCTTTTTGGACGGCACCACGTCCAGTCTCCGCGGCACGACAACGGAAGGGACAAGGAGACGACGGTTTGCTGACTTTTGGCAAGTCCTACTGCACCACTGCGGCTTCTCTTCCACCATCCGCGCACGCGACACGGCCCCAAGTCTCATCGCCTAGGAGCCGTCATATTGCGACGCCTTTCACTGGCCTTGGCACAAATTGCAATCACTTGCTACATCATCGGTATCGCATGAACATTTTACTTTGCTATCACTACAGAAGCTGCCCATCAAAATAGCTCCTTTCTCTCCATTGCTTTGGTAAGCGACCTATCTAGACTCAGCTTATTAGGACCCCGTTTGCTCATCTCATCTTGGTAGCTGAAACTCATCATGGCGGACAACACATCCACCCCCGCCGACCCGATGGCCGCAGCCTCAAATGCCATGATGGTCTCAATTCAGGACTACATTCGCACCGCCGTCACCACAGAGGTTGCAAATTTCCCAAACGCAACCCAGCCCGCCCAACTTGCGGCCCTTCAGAGTCGTCTCGAGACTGCCAATCAGGAGAACTCTGAATTAAAGGAGAAGATCAAGCAGATTGAGAGTAAGAAGTCCACTCGCCACAGTCGCAAGAGCACGTTTTTTCTCTTCTCTTTGTCTTTAGCACATCGCTGACATCGATCAAGCAGGCGAGCGAGACACCGTCAAAGCGGCCTTCTCCTCTTACCTGGGCTTTCCTCTTCCAGACTCCAAGCTTTCGCGCCATTCCCACAGCAAGAGTAGCAAGTTTCCCCAGTTCCAGAAGTTCCCCGTCGAAATTCGCATGAAGATCTGGAAGCTTGCTCTCCCTGCCGGACGCATTTTTGACCTCTCTAACGTCGATGCCCACTTCTCTCGTGTTCTCCGAGCCCCGATTGCCGCCAACAACGGCGCGCCTAACCCGGCTTTGGTCTTGCGCCAGGCCTCCGGGCTCACTGAAATGAGTGTGACTGCCCACAAGACGCCCAAGCTCCGACTCGCTTGCAAAGAGGCCAACAAGGCATTCCTTGAGGCAGGTGGCTTCGAATTTGGCTTGTTCGGTGGCCCATACAAAGGACTTTGGTACAACTATTCAGAGGACATCGTCTTTGTCCGCGAAGAGCCGCGTACCTGGGCCAACCTCGATATGTCACGCATCGTCCGTGTCGCCTTCCCGCATAATAGATTTATGTGCAAGGCCGATGCCACCGCCAAGATGGACACCATCCTCGATCACTTCACCTCCTGCAAGGAGGTCATCCTCATGCAGACCATGGAGTGGGATATCCGCTCCTGCCTTGCAAGCCCTCGACTGCCTGCCAAGCTTTTCCCGCTACAGGAAGCCGATCCTATTAGCACCCATGACTACCCGAAGGAACTTTCTGACGACGTCGGTAGCGTCGCAACCTGGGGCGATGTCAAGCGCATTGTTGCCCAGATATGGGAGGACCACGTCGTCAACGTGAAGCATCTCAGCCCTGTCCGTGTTCCCAAGTTCTCCGGGATCGAGGTCCTTAAAGCTCGCCCGAGCTACTTTGACTAGAGGACAAGATATAGAAGGTAGCTTGGATGACTTTCAGCTTGATCCTTGATGATCCACGCAGGATTTAATATGTACCGTATTTCGGTACTTTCCATTGGGAGAAGAGGCGTTTGGGTTGGTTTCTTCATCGTACGATAACTATCACGCATCAATTGATATCCTCAAGATCTTCAAATCGTACCCTGTTCATGCCTGTCGCTGTTTCCCCCAGAAAACGTACCTGATGAATGGGGTCATGGTGTCAATCTTCCGCGAACCACGAGCTCTTATACATACGAATTCTTTTATAGAGTGACATGGATGGACCATGGAACCTAGCTTTCATTTACTCGCCTTACTCACGCGTCAAAACGTTCTGTAGCTGAGGTATGTAGTATTGCCTGGAGAGAGTATGAGCTAGGACGCACGACTTCTATCTGGTGAAAAACAAGCACCAAAGCCCTAGACCAGTCTTTCAGGGTCCATCCCAACATCCGGCTTTCTGAAGACCTCTACAGCCTCTAGGAGCAAGGGCCCCTTCTTCATCCACGCATTCCAAGGCTCGTTTGAGTTTTCGAGGATGATCTCCTCTCTCTTCTGCAACAACACGCTCTTGAAATCGGCCCAGGTCAGAAACTCCTTCTCCAGCAGCTCTGGAAACCGCCCTGCGAGGTAGTATGTCAAATCCACCTTTGCAACCATAATATCTTCGTCTCTCATAGCTCTGAAGACTGGAGCCGTCGTCGCAAAATCGTCCGTTATGACATCTCCTATTTCACGCCGCTTGTCTAAGTAGAGCGCGACGACAAGGTGGCGACAATCTTCGAAGGTTTGGGTTCTGAGCCCTTGATCAAAGAAGATTGAAATAGCAACTTCCATGGAAACGTAGATCTTTCTCAAGCCCTTCAAGGGTGTATTGAACCACTGGTCGCAGGTCGCATAGTAGACTGCGTCCTGAGTTTTGTTGTACCAGAGGCCCCGGATGTTGGAATTGTCAAAGTAGCCGAAGGTGAAATGGCCAACCGACATACAGGCATCATAGGCGTCCTTGCAGGTCTCTCTGACCCGGGGAGGATAATACTCGCGGTAGAATCGAGTCGGATGATTAAAACTTATCCAGGGTCCGCGGTTGTCTGGCTCGTAGATCCGTGGCGCAGGGAGGGCTTCGATCCAAATCCTGCGTTTGATCTCAGCAGGCAGCTTCTGGAACTGAGGGAAGTCCATTCTCGAATGCTGTGGTGCCATTTTCTGGGCCTTGAGCTTGCAGTCAGCAACATGATTGGTTTTGAGGGAAACAGAATCGAATCAGCTTACCGGTGATCCCGACTTGGAGGCTTGTTTGCGGGTTGCGCTTCGTGGGGTTTGTCGATTTGTGCCATGAGGAAGTCAGCTTTGAGTTGATATTGTAAATGAAGACGCCAAGACAAACCTTTCTTAGGAGCCTGTCTGAGAAAAGAGTGACCACTCGGTGCACCGACATCGAGATGTTATTTGAAGGGCTGAGAATGTGGAAGGGCGAAAAGACTCAGCTCACCTGACACGCGTTGGCCGTGTGGGTTGCTGAAGAGAAGAATCTCAGAGGAAGGATTTTGAAAACGGAAGTAATTCAAGTAGGCCCTCTTTCATTCTTTACCGGGGAGGCAGGTCCAAGGCAGAAGCGGTTCCTTCCTCCCCAAATATGCCAACGAAACCAGCAGGTGCGAGTGTGAGTTTGGCTCTTGGAGTACCTTGAAATACCTAGGTCGAGTCATTAACAAATTGTATGTTCCAAGTAAAACTGTTGCCGTTGCAGTATTAGTGCAAAGAACTAGTAACCTAAAGATACCGTCGCAGACTACGGAATCCCTGGAGGTCGGTCGTTGTGGCCTCTTCACCGAAGCTCAGAAGTGTGAGGACGGCAAGATCAACGACGATTTCGACGACCTGCCAAGCCTTCTCTGATGTTTAAACGACTGACGTCCTCCCCCCCCCCCCCGTGTCAAATTTGCAGCAGAAGCAGCCTCCATCACGTAAACGAGCACGAGTTGAGCGAAGAACTGAAGCGGCCGCTTGTACTCACATCATAATGTTGCTGTCCATGAGGTGATAGATAAAAGCCTGGCAATGATCTAACGCATACCACAACCAGAACCGGAAGGTCCTCAGCAGGGCGTTTAGAAGCCTTGATGACTCTGGTTCCAAACCCCGACATAGAGCGCGTGAACAGAAGGGACCTTGCCATTTGATGCGAGGCGAGCTTGGTATTCTTGTAAGGATCAGGTGTCTGGACGAAGGTTCTCGGCGATCACGGTGTTCCACGCGCCCAGTCGCTTATCTTGAGAATGATCTAGCCGTGATGAATTTACAATCTATGTGAGCATCAAAAGGACCACAGTCAGGTAACGTTTTTAGCTTGAAAACCGGAGTGGAGACTGTCTTTGAGTTGATAGCTATGGCCTTCTTCCCCCTCAGTCCCGTTGGGCAGGGTGTTTCCGGCCGTCTAACTATCTAACGAAGGCGATACCAAAAAGCGATCGTGGCAAGGCAGGAATATGAGAGGTCCTTGGCTTATGTACCGTTTGTGTGGTATCGTCTGAAATGATAACCTTCCTTCTCGATGCGAGGCTTCCGGAAAACCTCCACAGAACGGAAAGTGACGTCTCTCGTCTTGGATCCATCCTCGTAGAAGATCTCCTTTAGCTCATCTCTGTGTTCGGCCCAGGTCTTCAGCAGGCCTTCGCCCCAATCTTCCACGTCCACTATCTCAGCGCAGACGCGCTCGTCATCCTTGACGGGGTAGAAGACTGGTTCAGTAGCTTCCATTGCCTCGCGAGTCGGTCCCTTGTTCTCTTCGATGGGAGCTCCGCGGGGTTGATAGGCGATTGTAAGGTTTTCACACCCGTAACAATCGCTTGTGAGCACTTCTCTGCATTCGTTCCGGTCAAGGACGATGGCGTCTCCGATGATGAGGTTCTTCACCTGAAGGTGGTTGAGGTACCAGTACTGTTCAGGACCAGAGAGATAGATGGCATCCAGATCATTGTTTTACCAGATCGATCTCACGGTGCCGTGGCCCAATGCGTCCTCAAAGTGGCCGAAGCGGAACTGGCCAGCCTTCATGCAGTATTCGCGAGCCTCTCTGTTGATCTCTCTGAAAGTCGGAGGTGCCCAGTGCTGATAGAACAGAATGTTTCTTGGGTCGTGTTCCCGGTGATTGTAGTATGTGATCGGCTCGTAGATTCTACCAGGCGGGAGGCACAACTTCCAAATCTTGTCCTTGAGCTCGTTGGGGAGTCGATTGAAGTAGCACTCATGGTCTATCTCAATAGTTAGAGAGTCTCTCATTGACGATAGAGGGGAGCTTAAATACCTTGACTGCGAGCCTGGGGAGGTCTTTTGGTTTTCTGGATAGACTCGACAACTTTGCTTGCTGCCTTCAAGAGGAGGGTGATTGCATCTTGACGGAGTTCTTGGTCCTGGTGGCCGTCGGCCTGCGTGATTCCGGCTAAGGCCAATAACAGCGAGGAATGCGTGCTTCCGATTAAGAGCTTTTCAGCCTCATCAAATTTGGAATAAACCTTGCTTGCTGTGTTCAGCAGGCTGGCGATGGCGGTCTGTTGTTTGTCGAGCTGCTGGAAAGAAGAGATAATCAGGCTGATGGAACTCATCATGCTGGAGATTGGATCATTTTCATGTCGGAGAAGCTCTATCTGCTCATCAGGCTCAGGTTGCAAGTTCGAGGCCATCTTGGTAGCCCTGGCCTCGGAGTCGAGGTGTTTGATGCGACTTCTTTTACCCACCTCGATGGTAGTGGTTTCGTCAAAATTCGAAGGTCTCGAGAGGAAACAATTAGGCCTTGTATCCCTAAACCTGCTCCTGCCGACCAATTTGAAAAGAAAATTTTGTTTGTGAAGCAGCAAGGCTTTGCTTGGTCGTCAATATGAGTGATCACGCATAGTGAGAAGGACTAGCATCAAGCGGGGACAGTCGACATTTGGCCCCTAGATTGCAGGCCACTATGGCTGCCTAGTCTTTATCAGATGCCACCATTGAAGTTTTTGAGATAATACAGCAAGTAAATTTGATTGTTAAGTCTTGTCTGCTGACAAGGAGAACCAGGTCAATAACTTTCATTGCTATGTGAAGTGGATTACCACTGACTGTTTCTTCACACTAGGCTAAAGCCCTGAGTCTTGACTTCAATCAGACATTGGTTACTTGTGCATATTAAGTAGATTCGAAGGTGCCTATCTGGCGTTGGAAAGAGCAAGGTCAGGTGTGTGCCTTCTATGTGGCGAAACTTTGGCGTTGCCCTTTTCTTTTTACCTGTATATTACCTTCTACACCTTGACACTCCCATCCTCTACACTCCCATCCTCTACACTCCCATCCTCTACACTCCCATCCTCTACACTCCCATCCTCTACACTCCCATCTCCCACACTCGAAATATTCTCTCTTACCTTCTTCGCTCTTTCCCTCTCACACACTCAAAACCTTCGTCATCTGCAACTGATATCCACCACACCTTTCCCGCACACCTCAACCCTCAACTCGAGAGTCAGCCCCAAGCCCACAAAGATGGACGAATCGGCGAAGCTCATCAAGAGCTTGACCGACGGCCTTAAGGCCATCAACAAAGTTCAGGCTCAGCAATCGAAGACCTTTTCTGAATCGCAAGGTTGTGCGTCGCAGAAAATGCCCCTGCAGTAGATGTCGCCCGAGTCAAAGATCTTCAAGGCAAGCACACTCCGTTAAAAGCAGCATTGACCGCGAAAAGACTGACCGGGGGAAAATGGCAGTAGATACCCAAGAGACGTTGGCGAGTATCATGAGACTACAGACCAAGATCATGAAAGAGCAGGCGGCGATGGTCCTCTCAAGACAACAGGCCGCGGCGATGCCCTCCAAACAGCAAGAGCAGGAATCTCTTTCCGGTGAGTTCTCCTTCGAACCTTTCTGGGGTTGATCATACTTGACGACCGTGGTATTGACTCTTCCCAGTGAGAGCTGCAGCTTTCCCAAAATTCGGTCGTCTCCCCGCTGAACTGCGGAGACACATTTGGAAAATGGCACTGTCAGGCCGTCGCGTTCTCGAACAGGCGGACGGAGTAGCCGAGTATCCCGAGCTCTGCAAGAAATTCAGACCTCCAGTGATTCGAGCCGTCTGCAAAGAAGCCTGGGAGGTTACCGAACAGAATGGGCTATTCGTCTACGGTTCGGAGCTCACTGCGTCTGGGGGAACCTGGTTCAACCCCAAGCAGGACGTGATCATTATCCGTGATCCCGGAGAGGACTGCCCGCTGGGACCGTTTGAGGATTGTCGTCCTGAAATCATCGCCGTTGACCGCCGATACTTTGAACAAGACCAAAACTTCAGACGTGTCTTGGATCTTGTGCTGGAACTTGACAGCTGCCGAAGGCTCATTATCCTCTTGCGGACAGCCCCCAATTTAACATACCAGAAGGGAGCAGCGCCGAAGCTGTTCAGCCTTCAAGCCGAAGATGTGATCTGGTCATACTACGCAGATGAAAAGCCAAACGGTCTCTTTGAGGAGGACGATGTTTCGTGGAAGAAGTTCAAGGATACGATCCGAGCTGATTGGGATAATGAGATACGTGACAGCGGAGGAATGGATATAATCATGAAGTATGGCGGCGTGCCTGTGATCGAGGGGATGGAGTTGATCATGTGCAAGGAGGACGAGACATCTCATGGTTTCTGAGCAGCGACGTAGGGACAAAGCGAATCCCATGGGCAAAATGTCAAGATCCCATAGTCCAAAACAACGGTCTTTCTCCCTAGACAGAACGCATGCCTCGATGAGACTCATGGGAGTTACTTTCAAGCTCTAGTCTCACGGCGTTTAGATTTAAATCGAATCGAAAGCTTATGGATGCGTCAATTCCGTCGTCGTTTTCATGTTGAGACATACCAGCTGGGCCAACATGGTTGAGTGGCTTGGCTGCTGCAAGCACACACACACAGTGAACACTAGAAAGTAAGTCTGAGTACCATGTGAGCTTTAATCCTCAAAAAGAACTCAGTATAGTTACACTACACGGCACTACGCTGCTTATACCCTATGTATAGAGCTCAGTGGCTTTCTTCTTCAAGCGATACTTCCGAATTAAATGTAATCAATGAGACTAAGAACAGTACCTGAGGCGGTGGTACACGCAGGTGAGGTGACACCAGCGGCTCTAAAGCATTGAGATTACTCCCTATGTACCAAGCATTAGACGTCTGGATCTGGCTGTCATGGAAAGTCGTGGAGACATCCAATTAAGAACTCGGGTTTGCCCGTGAAGCTGCTCGGGGACCTTGGAAAACTACACTCAGGTTCCCAGGGCCAGAGGGAAGTTTTGATCGTGTGTCACAAACATCTATACTCAGCCTTCAGGTTCTTTGTTTTTCCAGGTCGGATACCCAAACTAGGACGCTCAGGCCAAACAGAACCAAAGACGAGACTATTTCTAGCCTCGTAGATGTAGGGAGAGTGGCAGCTTGCGTTTCTGATCCTTATTTGTTTAGGCATGGTGGACTATGCTGACGTCACCGCATCGAGTGACTCGATCTTGAAAACGGCAGTCTTGTCTACGACGTTCCTTGGGTACTGAAAGAAGTTGATGGCATTGGTTGATGAGAAATTGAAGAGATAGCCCTGCGTGAGCATGGCGTTTCCTGGTTCGGGGCAACACGAAAACTTTCCAGTTTTGTCAATCTGGTTGCCTCTCCCTGTGATGTGATTCCGAAGTGCTGAACAAACACCACGACGCAAGCAGTTGATATAAGAATCGTAGTTCCATCCTCTGGCAGAAACATTTGAGAACATACCAGCCAGCTCACCATCCGTTCCAGTCAGCTTCCCTCCTACAGTTTTTTCCAACCAATCCACTGTCATTATCATTCTCTTCCACTCTCTTCACAAGTCAACATGTTCCCCAACACCCTCACTCTTTGCCTTGCAATCACACCCCTGGTTGCGAACCTCGTGGCTGGAGAAGCCGCATTCTACGGAACAATCCCAGCCAGCGAGCTCCAAATTCCGTCTTCGACCAAAGGTACCGCAGCTTCATGGACCACCTCCTTCATCGCTCCTCGCTCCACCAGCAAACCCGCGGTTCCTTCCATCGACAGCCCAGTCTGGTACGCCCAGGAGACCTTTGACGAGGCCCCTCTCTTCGAGAAGAGAATCAACGTCGCCATTAACCAGCAGCCGAGAAACTGCAACAAGGAGTCCGACTTCAACCCTCACCCGCCAATCCACTCCGACAAGCAGCTCAAGGGTGCAGACTACTTTTGCAACAACTACGCCGGCTTCATGGAATCCGGCATGAAGTCTCTTCGCGTCGAGTGGCACGATGAGTTTCAGGGTCGCCACCAGTACAAGGTCTCCTGGGCTGTAGGCTGTGTCACCGACGGAGACAGGCAGCATGTTAAATATCCTAATGGCCTTTCCAACACCAACCCGAGCTGCAACGACTTGATGAGGGATAACTACCTACAGTGTGAGTGTCTGACAGCTTCTATATGGTTGACGTTCCCTCTGGTGAAGAGATTTTGTTGCTGATACGGTACTACTCTAGGTAACAACGGTGGCGTTGGAGGTAGGGTACAGGTGGGCTGCCTTGTTTACGCTTACAACGGAGGGACCGTTGCGGGGAGGGATTATGAGTCTATTGGGCTGTGGTGAGCGGCCGATCAAGATCGCTCATCTTCTTGTCGAGTTTATGGTACGCGAATGGGAGGGAGCTATAGCTCTCACTCTCAAACAAGGCAGCATGAAGCACCCGATCGACTTCTTCTCTTCCCTTCAGATTGTACAGCTAGATAGAATGTACTCAATACATCCATCCTCGAAACGTCCGAGTCAGATAGAGCGGACTGAAGAAAACTCGCAACGTCACTTTGTGTGAGGCAGGAGGGCCACGATAGAACAACGACAGAGGGAGAATCATTCGGGAAAGCACCTGGCGGTCGTGGATGGGCTTAATGAAGCCCAGGTCCAAACGGGCGAGCTTTTGGAAACATTTCAGGAAACACAGCCATAGCAAACGGCTTTCATCGTGAACTATGTTACAACTGGGCTTCTGAGTGAACTAGTAGCACCAATCAGAAGCTATGAAAGCAACTGTGAGTATGCGGAAACAAGCCTAAGAATCAGTACCATAGTGGAAAGATTTTTCAATAAATTAAGAAACAAACATCTAGTGCCTAATGAACGCTTCGAGCAAAAGTAAGGTTGCGATGAGTTGAGGGACAGAGAAAGGTAATCGGACGTTGAACAATGGCGATTTGTTTGCCATGCATCACGAGAAGACGTGGCTAGTCCTAAAAGGGCATGGTGCGGGGTAGTCGAGCTAAGGATCTTTGGAGGTTGGTCGGCCTGCCAGGCACTCATGCCAATGCGTCGTCGCGGGGCAGCTTTCTTCGGAGTTCCATCATCAACATCAACCTTCCCATCCTACCTACCGACACGAACCCTGCAGTCTTGGAGCCGCAAAGATGTCTACGGTTCACATCAAGTCGGCAGCGGAGTTCCAGAAACTCCTGTCGAGCTCCCGTATCGTCGTTGCTGACTGTGAGTACTACCCGACCACCGAAGTCACTGCACCCCTGCCTCTCCATCCTGGATGACGCCAGTGAGGCCATATACGGCCGCGACAGCTCCAACGCGTTGTGATAGCGGCTTCATTGCCTCTCAATATCGCGCCGGCCACGTTCCTACTTCTTCATCTAGGAGGCTATTGAGCTGCTCGCGGGATGCATCCACGATTGAGTTGACGTGCTGACAAATGGATTCTAGTCTACGCCGACTGGTGCGGTCCCTGCAAAGCTATCGCGCCCCTCTACGAGCAGCTTTCCTCGTCCCTGTCCCGCAAGAATGTCGTCACTTTTGTCAAGATCGACGTCGAGTCCCAGAAGGAGATCGCCTCCGCCTACAGCGTTACTTCCCTCCCGACTTTCATGATCTTCCGCGAAGGCAAGACCATTGAGAAGGTCCAGGGCGCCGACCCCCGCAAGCTCCAAGAGGTGGTCAAAAGGCTGGCGAAGGAGGTTTCCGAGGGCGGTTCAGGCTCTGGCGAGGCGTCCGGAAGTTCAAGCGGAGGCAACTGGAGAGGCGCAGAGTTCCCTCGCGGCTATGGCGACGTTACCGGCCAGATCGAGCCCAAGGGCTGCGAGCTGCTGAACGCCGACGAGGATTTTGGTCCCGTCAAGGTCTTGTTCGACCCATCCAAGCCTAGCGCGCTTGCGAAGAAGGAGGGCGTGAAGGATTGGGTTGAGAGTGGTGCCGATGACCAGCTCTTGTTGTTCATGCCGTTCCAGTCCATGATCAAGCTGCACACCCTTCAGGTATGATTGGAAAATTGTAGTTAGACACAGCGTCAGTTGCTAACCCATCACGCAGCTCACTTCCCTGCCTCCTACCGACGATGACGACGACGAGGCTCCTATGCGCCCGGGCACCATTCACCTCTACACGAACAAGCCTCACAACCTCGACTTTAGCGAAGCCGACGATACCCCTCCCACGCAAGCCATCGAGCTCACCGAGAAGGACTGGAACGCTGACGGCACCGCCAACATTGGCCTTCGTTTCGTCAAGTTCCAGAACATTAACAGCTTGATCATTTACGTGACCAAGGGTGACGGCGACGGTGAAAAGGTGCGTCTCGATCGCGTGCGCCTCATCGGCGAGTCGGGCGAGAAGAGAGAAATGGGCAAGTTGGAGAAGATTGGCGATGAGGCCGGCGAATAGAGCGGATCGGTGGGTCATTGAAAATCGGTCCGGTGAAGAGACAAGAAAGAGGAAGAAAAGTCTGCACTCGAGACCCCATGCGACGAGAATCATGAATAGAGCAATAGTTATAGACGCCTCCGGTAACAGGTTGTGCCGGAGGCTCAAAATCCAAAACCACTGAACCACACACAGATTGCATGGTTGAGCATGATTGACGTTCGGTAATGCAGAGTCACGCATTTAGGCGGTCATACATGAGACGATTCTAGAGCGCGCGTGGTGCGCCAAATTAGGAAACGTCACGGGTTGCGACGACATACTGCCTTGAGCTCAACCGCGAGGCAGGTAATAGGTGACATAGCCGCATAAGGCGTACTTCTCCCGCCTAGGTCGTCGCATTCACTTTGCGAGTTCCAGCCAAGAATAAATTTGGCTTGAACGGTTGGATATGTCCGGCCCATCGATCGCGACCCAACTCGCTACAAGAGCAAGAACAGGATCTATGATGGACGAGGCCGGCTGCAATTAAAATTCGATCTGGGGCACGATTGACGCCATGAATTCACCGACTTAGGAATTCCAGCAACAGGGGAAACTGTAACGAATCGTGCCAGCCGCACGAAGAAAAAAAGAAGAAAAAAGAGAAGCCTTCGACAGAGCCGCGACCAAAAATTCTTTTTTATATCGTGAGATGGGTCCCTGCACGTCCGCCCGGAGTGGGTCTGATGCAGCTGGACTAAGGGCACCGGAGGAACCTTTTCGCGGACAAACGGAAGATAGCCGCGGCAGGCTCCGCGGGCTGCAGGTGGACGCGGCGTTCCACTGGGTGACTAGCTGCGCTGGTTGCGGACGTGACTGCACCTCAGTCTGCGAGCCTGGCGAGGTACCCACGTACCTTAGCATACTTAGGTAAGACCGTAGAGAGAGTGAGGCCCACTGGACGTCCCGTTGTGCTGCCGGACCTGGTCAGTGCGCCTGAAGTCCACTCAAACGCCCGGTCCCCACAGTTTGCACTCAGTATGCGACGAGCAGCATATCGGATTTGAGCCAACTAGATGACACCCACCCCAGTCGTCATCCAGAGTCCATCAGAACAACTGCGAACGTCCAGCCAGCAACAAATGAAGACACCCTCTTCCATCGTCTTACTCAAGCCGTCGTGTGCGCCGAGCTTACTACCTATCCTATTCTACTCGCCCGCTTCATCGAACTAAACAATGGGGGGATTCTGGCTTGCGCAACACAATATGCCCACCCCCAATAAGCCATGTCGACCAGGGCTGAAAGAAAGCTGCTACCATGCACGGTTCTGACTGTACTAGGCAAAGCCAAGTTGTGCCGAAGGGCGAGAGGAGGCCAAGGGGTGTCGTCTGCGCAGGGGGCTAGGTCCTAGGATACCTGGATACGACAGATGATGAGCCGGATACTTCAACCAAACGGTCACGCAACGTCGTCAAGTGCCCTATCAAGTCCCCTTCAGATTGATTGAGCCTGGGCCCGTGATGAGGCGGCGGAGACCCAACCTGAGGAGGTGCCAGGAGGCAACGCAATATGCTTAACCAACCTACCTTGTCCGCTTTCGTATCGTTCGCCCGATCCCAAAGCCTCAAGCAAACGACCTTTGAACCCCGTACCCACCTAATCGACCGAGCCCTTCGGAGCCCCTCCCTTCCTTCGTCGTCTGTCGCTCTCGGCAAGCTCCTTACCACGTCCGCCCCTCTTCCGATGCCACCACTTCCCCGAACTGGCCCCGGCCAACGTCTTGGCATGGCTAACCGTCTGCCATCTCGTTGGAACCCTGCGGTCACCTTGCAGCGCCGTGGCAGTCCAGCGCCGTGCTACGCCGTAGCATGGTTCGAATGACGGCAGACCGATGGTTCCAATCTGTCTAATCTGGACCGCCCTCTCTTTCTCTCTCTCTTGCGCGCGCGCCCATGCAAGCTCGAGTTGCTAGCTATTTACCGCCAGCTTATGGCATCACGACTCGTCATCGGATTACGAGGGGCAAGCGTTCTCTCGTTGACCGCCAAATTTAGAATTCGCGCCATGTTCACCGCGGGCTTCCGGCGGCGGCGGACCGAGATTCTTGCTACCTTAGTCTATCGGTGCGCTTTTTCGCAACTCCGCCTCGCCAAATCGGCACCGAGGACCCATTTTCACATATCGCTTTCGCCATGCTTAAGACCTTAAGAGGCCCGAATATCGACGTGCATTCGCCCGCTCTGACATCGGTGCGTCATTAACTGCCGGCACGATTACCTGATGTGGCAGTCATGGCGGCCAATAGTTCATTTGTTGCGGCGTACCGGTCGTGACATCCCACGTTGCTTTTGCCCACTAACGACACCGCAGGGACGGTAGATGACCATACCTTACCTTAGTCTAGTCAAAACTGACAGCCATCAGATGATCCGGTCTAGCCCCAGTTTCACCAGTGTGATGGGGACTCTCCGGACGGCTCACAAAACCCAGCTTACATCCGCCGTTTGCAAGCAACAAGTCCGGTTGCGTTTCCTCACGTTTCACTTTCTTCCCTGTCAAGAAGCTCCTTGAGTCGTCTCTCCTTCTTCCTTTGGACAAGATTCGAACACACATCTCGCTCCGCTTCCGAGCAGCCCCGTCTCATTGGTGTCGTCCCATCAGCAAACCTCATCAACCTGCGAAAGCTGCTAGTGCCAGGTCTCCAAGATAAACTCCCCTCACCCACACTACACCCCGCCGCGATCCTCGAAACAAACTCCTACCCTCATCTATGCGAGATCTCTCGGGCCGCTAGTCGAAACGTTAAACGAGTGGGTATCGCGGTCCTATATTTCAACGCCAACCTCCCCGTCGGGGACGTTCGTCTCGTCCCATTGCGTGTCTGCTGGCTGCTGCGTGCCTACGAAGTATCTGCCCAGTCGTTGCGTTGCGCGGTCGCTGTCCGAGTGGTTGGGTCACGTCGATCATTAAAGTTGTTGCCCCCCCCCCCCAGCTAGAGATCATCCGGCCTTAAAGAAGATCGACCGCCAGGTTCACAAACCGCCCGCATTGTGTGTTTCTGAAGATCTCTTTGCTGCGATGCAACCCAGCCTCAGCGTCACACATAGATCAACATGCCTTCAACATTATTTCCGTCTATCTCGAAGGAGTTTTCGAGTCCCACAACCACCCCCGGAGAGGCGTTCCCGATGATGAAGTTGCCAGTGGAGATCCGATTAATGATTTGGGAGTACGCTCTCCCAGAAGCGCGCGTGTACGAAGTCATGGACTCGCCGAATGCAAGCCAAAAAACGCCTGCGGCAGCCGGGCTCATGTTCGCCAATGTTCGAGATGAACCGCCACCAGCGCTTGGCGCGGTATGCCATGAGACGAGGGTATTTGTACTACAACGCTACAGACCTCTCGCTCTCTCGGCGACGACGAAATACGTCAACCTATCGCGCGATATCCTTTTGCTCGAGCCGTACTTGCTGGTCAAGCGGTTACTCCGGACATTGCAGTTCTTCAGCCAGATCCCTCTTGTGCGAGACAACCTCAGTCGGCTTGCGTTTGGAACGTCATACGGACTCTACACTGGCATCTGCCACCCTGTGCTCAGTTGGAAAGTCTCCAAGTCCAATATATCGACGCTGCTTGCCCGTCTGGCAAAGTTCCCCAGATTAAGGAAGCTCGTCTTTGTCGTCCACCAGGAGTTCCAGTTCGACTTTGACATTCGACCTCCGTATGCCACATCTCATATGAACTACCCAGATCCGCAACGCCCACAACTGGTGCACCAAGGATACCGCTTCAAGTTCGATATTGAGTCACAGCTCAACTATACACAGCCGCGACACCCGCACTCTAATCAGTTTCTCTATTACCCGCTGGACGTCGACGACGACAAGGACGACTGTTTCGACAAGGATGACTTGGAAAACGAAGGCGACCTGTTTGAGTCGTGGCCCACGAATGACGACTGGCGGCGCTTCAGGCGGAGGTTCCAAAGATCTATCCACCTTGTCGGAAAGGGCTCGCCGGGATGCCAGCGGCCAAAAGTCATGCCCAAGCTTGAGGGTGCGAGTCTATTGTGGAAGTACAGCAAGGCACAGCATTATTGATGCACTTTTTTATTTTTTTTTATTTTTTTGGAGGGGGCGTTGGCGTTCTCTTGGGTGTGGAGTTTACGGGCTTGCATGCATTATCTATACCCTCTTTAGATCTTAACTTCAAGGTTCTCGGTTAGGCGCAATACAGCGGCATCTGGGCTTGTAGTATCAGTCTCATCATTCAGGCTGCATATAAAACGGATAATAAGTCACACTCTTCAAAATGCATCTTGGTGACCACAGTATTTCCATTAATTTTCAATCTGCCTCTAGAGGCAGACTACATACTGTGTGATCCCACGCGAGAAGGCTCAACACGAGTTCCCGCCATTGCTTATGCCTCATTATCATTATCATCATCGTCATGTCATTATCCGCACACCACCCTTCCTCCCATCTCCCCTTGCTCAAGCTTTACGCTCACTGCGATTCCGACCGGAGTCCGAATACGATGGACACGATCAGGAAGGAAATGGAAAATCCAACGAGATTCGCCAGCAGAACCACACTGAAGGCCGATTCTTCCTCCCCCTCCTCCTCCTCCTCCTCCCTTCCCTCCATCTCTACTACGGCGACTACACCCCCGCACCGCTCGGCAGGAGTGGCAGGAGAAGCGGGAACAGCGGCAGGAGAGGCGGGAGACTCCTTGCCGTCCGTGTCGGAATTACCATCGCCGAGAGCCCACTTCTCGAAATCCCAACTCACCGCATCCAGCTCCCGCCGGATCTCCTGGTCAGCCAGGCTGTACTCCGAGTCCTCCTCACTCTCAGACCAAACGACGGAGGAACAGAAGAGGCAGAAATGCTCCTGCGAAGTAATCTCACTCCCACTCTCACTCTCATTCACCTTCGCTGCGCTGAGGTCCAAAGACCGCGGCCGTAACTCCTCAAGGTGCGGAGCGACCACCGGTGCCTGTGGCTGTGGCAGTGGCAGCACAGGCGGCGGGAGAACCAACTCCTCAATCTCCGCCTCGACGGGGAGTTCGTTGACGTGGAAGGGGTCAACAACAACCACATCATCACGTCTCTGGATCCCCCTCGCAGCCTCGATCCCGTATTCGAAGTACGAGAACCTCTTGATCCAGGGCTCGTTGCGGGTGAGGGGTTCTTGTTCGTAGTCGGCGTACTGGAAGCGGGAGAGCCGGGATCTGACGCGAGGGCTGCGGATGCCGTAGTCTGCGAGGGTGCGGGCTTCTAGGGCGATATCTTCGAAGGAGGTCCAGCCGATGTTGTTGCTGTGGTTGTGGCTGGGGGAGGGGGAGATGGTGCAGTCTATGCAGCCGGGTGTGGTGGGGTTCCAAGTGGAAGGGGCTTTGGATCCCGGAGTCGCGAGCTCGGTTGGAGGAGATTGAGACTCCCTCCCCTCTATTCCCTTCTCTCCAGGCTTGTTGGGAGCGTATACTTGCTCGAATAGGGCCTTGGTGATGGCCTCGGCCCTGGAGGCTGACTGGAGCATCTTCTTGACCTTGTCAGGGGTAGGGGTCTCGCTGACTTCTCCAAGAGACTCCCCGATCGTCTCGAGACTCATGGTAGTGAGTCTCGGACGAGTGGAGCGATCGTGCCAGACGTGAGGGTATCTCGCAAAGTATGTACGGGTAGCCGCCATCTTTGTTACTGATGGTATATGTGATTGAATACTTGGGTGTAAAGTGGCTTGAGAAAGTGGTGAGTGTAACTTGAAGTTACTAGAATTATCAAGATGATGTATGGGATATGGAATGAACGGAGAACGATCAATAAGACAGGAAACGAGCCTGTTTGATATACTACATACACCGTTCTTCCGGAGATACCTTCACCATCGGACCATGATACTCTCTGCTCTAGGTTTAGACTTCAGTCGTACCACGATCCTGCGCTCAATCAGAGTCCAGCGGAGATACTTCATGCCATGCAGGTGCCTTTGGGACATTTGGCTCCTGGGAAAGAACTGGGACTATTCGGTTTGCGGCTTGGCAATGGATGACTTTTGACGACTGCGTGATGACACTTCTTGCGGGACGTTAGAAGCTTCTTCAACCTCTAATTTGTTCTTAGCACGTAATGGGCCAGATCCTGAACATAACACTCATAAGACATGATCCGAGGTACGCTCGAGAATCCAGCTTGGAAGATGTTCAGAGATAAAGTCTGTATGATCCAAGCTATTCCAAGAGTCTCGGACTTCATCAAGATAACAAAAAGGAGCGCGGTCAAAGGCAAAGCAAGAGTTCGACTTAACTTTTCCATGGACTCGGTAGACTCGAGAGTAATTCGGGATGGTACGTTAGCTCGGTCTTCTTCGCGGCAATGTTCTTGAAATATGCACAATAGGTCACCCGTGTAGACTCCAGTCTTACACCACCAAGGAATTATCCGGGCCATTGATCATCCACAACAACCTTGAGGGCGAGGGACGGCTATCCCATCGGACTTCTAACTCATACAAAAAATGCAAAAAGCTCAGCTCCCTATAACAGGGAACCTACGAAAGATCCGAGGAGACTCTTACCAGCCTCAGGTGTAACGATGCAAGGATTTTTACAAGAACAATACGGGACTCGAACCCGGGACCTATGAGTGCGGGGCTATTCCCATCTAAGTGATATTCCCCGCTACGTCACAGGCCTTGGTGATGGAATAGCTTCCTTTTGACAATTATAGTGGGTGAGGTGGTGGGTGGTGGGCGATATGCGTGAGGCCAGGCGGTGAGAGATATGGGTGTCAAAGGTGAATCACTAGGCTGGCATCACACGGTTCACATTCGTCGGTAGAGATTAGCCTCGAAATACCATCATTCTCGTAGGCATGTTTTTTTTTTTTTTTTATTAAGGAACAAGACTAGAGATACCACGCTATTTCGTCCAACCTTGGGAAATCCAAAGCCGTGATGTAGTTCAAGATGATTGCCTTAGAGCTTCTTGTCAACCACATGAAGAACGCGGTGCTGGGATCAAATCAGGTTGGCCGGGCGAGCAGATACCTAGGCAACAACATAGCCATATACATTTACTGCCTCCAAGCTCTTGGAAATAATAATTAGGTAGAGGATGTATTGATGTGTTTATCAAGAGTACGCCAAGATAGACAGCCAGACAGAGTAGTGCAGATGATAGTAGTCGGTCATTTTTATTGTCCGAAACCTGCTCGCGACGTGCAAGTCTCTCAAGTTTCCGAGATTTATTCCATTTGCCTCGTTGCCAACCCCCATTAGAGCCCGGTATTGTTCCAGAGTGTCCTCGCAGTCGAAAACGTGTGCCATATTCCCAGCGGTTGTCCAGGAAGAAAGCGACGCTGCGCTCAACAGTCGAAATTTCTTCGGGCAGTCTTCTCTCATTCCGTAGACTTCGACTCATTTGCTAAACTTCTCTGCCATGATCGATGCTAAGCCGTCGCACCATCCCGTGGCCGCCTCGATTAGGAAACCGATGTAAACCCCAGAAAAGTGGTAGGAGTGCCTGGTAAAGATGGTCGGCCAGGGCCCGGTGACGAACGAGTGGGCCATCGCGATACTATAGCCCAATATGCCGGCTGTCATGATGCCGGATGTGCTTCTCGGACCCTTCGGCCAATGTTCCAGGATGGCGATGCACGAGACCGGGAATGCGATCATCGCGGCGACGCCGTAGATGACAAAGAGGACCTCCGACTCAACTGTGCAGTGTTCGCTGCCAAGGACCGCCAGGACGACCCAGCTCGAGAAGTTGACAGCGAGCGCGCATAACAACTGTTCGGCTATTTCCTTCTTTGACTCGACTTGCTCGGTAGAGGGTTTGGGTGGTTTCTTCATTGTCAAGGGAGGTGGGTAGGGGGATTTGTTATCTCCCATATTTGAAGAGGGACTTAGAGTCGCGGTGTATCGCTCTTGAGGCAGTATTACGCCCCAAGGACCGATGCGTAGCGCGAGTCCTAAGTCTAGCATTCAGAGATTGGTCGTGAAGTGCTATGAGTTTGGTGGACTTCGGTACATGGACAGCAGGACCTGCTTGGACATATAGTGCTCGCCGGAATGTTTGTAGAGAAAGATGATAGAGGCCATCTCGTTTCGACTCGATCTACAACCGTGGGGAAACCCGCATCATGTGTACGGGTAACCGCGATGGTCTCTCTCACAAACTTAATCCAGCCGCATCCCAACCTTGCGTAGGCCTTAAAACGCCTGAACGATACGTCCAACCTTGAGATCTCAAAGGTTCTGAGCCGCGCCGGACGAAGAGGAAGACTGAGTCTTGGCCGCATCCTTGCCGCCAACAGTACGAATCTTCCTCGGCAGAGGCTCCTCCTTCGAGTTCTTGAGGGCCTCGAGAACCAGCCCCATGAGCCCCGTCACCCCCTCAATCCAAAACCCAACGTGAAATCCGCTCAGCAGGCAGAACTCCCGCCCCAGAGTCTGCCCGACGCCAACGGTCCAGCTCGGGACCGTGATCCCGTAAATGAGCGTGGCAGTGAAGCCCAGTATACTGCTCAGGATTCGCTGATGGCCCGTACGGGGCCAGACGCCGTACGTCATGATGAACACGCCGGCCCCTGTGATGAAGAAGAAGACCGTGGCGGGGATGGCGAGGAGGAGCTTGGCGTCTTCGTCGCCGGAGGGCGATGGCCTCACAGAGAGGCTGCCGATTGTCGCTAGTGCTGCCAGGTTGAGAAAGTACCAGGTTGCGAAATAGTTTTCGGACGGCATGAGATCATCGACGTATTGTCTCGGGGCAGTATTGGGAGTGTCTGGCTTCGTTGTCGGGGGCGCTGCGGTACTTGATTTAGGTCCATCGCTGCTTGCTACAGGCTCTGGTCGTGGAATTGGCGTTGGAGTTGAAGTCATGTTTCTAATCGAGCTCCCCACTTCGTTGTAAGTCAAGAAATCTTTTTAAGATCTTCGCTGGCTAAAGCCTTTGAATGGATGCTTTTATTTGAACAATAAATATGTAATGAAGAAGGTGACGGTGGAGCACCAGGAGCATATGGGTCAAAGTACTTATGTGAGATTCGAATGCGAAGCGGCAACTATGTGCCGGTAACTTGGCTCGGCGGCCTCCGAATCCTTCGTAAGCCGGGCGACGATGAAGCGGGCCTTGGTCCTTGGTTGGATCCATTGGCTTCATTTTGCCCAGAAGCCAAGTATCAGCCATTCGGCTGTGCTGATTCGAATGAATTATGCGACGTCTTTTGTGCAACACAAAATAACCATGACATGTTGCTGTGTAGGCGAATAGATCGAAAAACAGCCAATGCTATCGGAAGCGATAGGAACGGCGCAGCTTGACCAAGTAGCTTAGCAGCCCAGATACTGAGATCGCATAAGGAAATTGCAAATTCGAAGGGATGAAAAGCGCCTGGGAAGTGTCATTAACTGTCTAATACTTGCTAGTCTATCAAGATTGCGATTTGACCATGAAAATCTGTAACACATGTCAGTAAACAATCGCACCAGAAGCGCTGGAGCAACACCAAAACGTACCGCGTTCAATGCCTTGTCATCCATAGTCGCCATCCTCTTCTGCGCAATCCACCGTGACCTCACAGCGTGGTGGCCTCTGAGCACCGGCGTCGACGTACCGCTGGCCGTCGGTGTTGTTGACGCTGATGCTGACGCTGCCGCCGCCTTCTTTGCGCGCTTCTCCTCCTTGCGACGTTTCTTCTCCTCTTTCCTCGCAGCCTTCTCGGCATCCGTCTCGCCCTTGCGCTTCTTCTTTGTCGACTTGTCGTCTGACGATTCGTCTTCATCGCTGTTATCGGCGGCCTCCTTCTTGGCCTTTTTGCTCCTCTTCTTGTCCTTCTTCGCCTTCTTCTCCGCCGTCTCGTCCTGGGTATCTTCCGAAGCATCCTCCTTGGCCGCGGACTTTGATTTGCTGCGCTTCTTCTCCTTCTTTTCTTCCTTCCTCCGCTTCTTCTTCGCCTTCTCGTCCTCAGAGGACGAGGATTCGTCTTCGCTCGACTCCTCGGCCTTGCGCTTCTTCGATTTTTTGCTCGATTCGGGGATATCCTCCATCTTGACGTCGTCACTGTCGCTATCGTTCTTCTCCTTCGCCTCGGCCGTGGGTTCCTCCTTGATCTTGTCGCCGACGAGGAATCCACCGCTAACGAAGCGCATCGGCCCAAACTTGTTATCGCAGTACAGCGTGCTCTTCAGCGCCGTGCGGGCCTCCTGCTCCTTGGCAATGACCTCCGTAGACTTGCCGTTCAGGCGTCCAAGGAGGTCGGAGAAGACGTCCATGCCGGTGACCCTGTCATCCCTTGCCTGCTTGAAACCGAGACCGAGCATGTCATCCTTAAGGGCGACGCGAATGAAGGAGGCATTGGCCGCCGTATGGTGCACCGCGTGCGCTGCGTCCTTTGCACCGAGGTACTGGCCGGGTTCCCAACCCTGTGATCGCAGGATCTTCTGGCCAAAGGAGTCGAGGTCCTTGGTCCATTTCGTGTTGTTGGGATCCTTGCCGATCTTCCGGCGACTAAAAATGGGATTTTCAGTTAGTTATTCAAGCAGGCGAGGACAAGTCGCACGGAAACGGTGAGCCTCACGTCTTCGCCTGTGCCAGACCCATCTTTGCGTTGTGACGGGTGCCGACCGGTGGTGATGGAAAATGGGAATTTTCGAGATGCGATAAGAGATGCAGGCCAAAGCCATTATCGCAGGGAAAAAAATCTGGTGGGGTCCCTGTTGTGGAATGTGGCTCGTCCCTGCAATCTGCAATCTGCATCCGAGGTAGACCCGACACACCGACACTCACCGACCTAGCCGAGGTGAGCAGTCCCTATATCACCATTTTCAATCCGCCGATTTTGGTTTACGATACGCACGTCCAAATTGATTGCTTATTCGCATTTTTCGGAAGCCTGCTTCAGCAGAAAAGACAATTTGAATGTTTAGATCGTATTTGTAAAAAAAGCTGCAAAATGACAAAAGAGTTCACCCCCCCCGGTGCTGAACTGGGGGCTACATCTCTGGTGCACATGCTGGGAATCGAACCTTGACCCTAGCGAGGACGAGCCTACCGCCGAGACGACTCGCCCCTAACCATCCCGCCAAACGGGACTTTGACCTGACCTCACAAGCCTGTGAGGCGCCTGCCTCCGTTGGTGACAGGAATGGTCCTGGACCCCCCTATATGGGTTCGAGCCTTCACTTTCATGGAAACTTGATGGCTCACGGCAGAAAGCGCTGGCCTACCGGGCGCAGCGCCATCCATATCCATCCACGGCCCTCGCTACCTTGCCCTCCAAGCCTCCCACCCCTTTCCGAACCTTGAGGGCGAGCACATTGACGGCGCAATTCTCACACGCCCAAAACCCACAGCCACTGCCATACTGCCATCTGGTCACGGTACCAAATTCAACTAAATGTCGGCTTCCCCTCCCCTCTAGTTGACTTGGCCCTGCCGAGTCTGCGCGACTTCGCCGGCATCCTACGTGCAAGACCAGCACAGCGGTCAAGGGTGCCCTTCTTGTGCAACAGCGAGAACAATCTGGCATCGATCCTGTTGGCAAGTAAGTTATCCCTTTATCTATGCAGTATCTCCCTACTTCTCCTCTGCTATAATGCAATGATGCGAACACATTAGGATTGAGCAACCGAAGTGTGTAGCTCTTAAACCCAGGCCGGTCTACGTTTCTACGCAGATGCTCCAGGGACCAGGATCGCAGGTAAACAAGGCTTAGAAGAGTCGAAATGATTTCTCTATTCCCCCAACGCCATATGAAGTATGCTCGGGTCGTTACTGTACACAAGAACTATCGTCGCATGGGTTCGCTCTATTATCCTTTCTCTCTTATCGGATGCTTATACAGTGAAGCCAAATCCCTTCATGCAAGCTCGGTACTGGTCGATCGTGGAAAGGCAATCCTTGGACGGATCGGCGGCGTTGGAGAAGAGCATGCACTCGTCGCGCTTGGCCTTCTCGTCCTTGCACACGCAGCAGGGCTACAATCGCGATGGCTCGTCAGTATTCAACGTTCGTCGTGCTCAAATCGTCGAAGGGCTATGTTCGGAGAAAGGGTTCTTTGCGCACCTTGGGCTTGGAAGCTTCCTGGCTGGCAGCCGGCGCAGCGGCCGGGGTGGCGATTGAGGCTGTGGGCGGACATTGTTAGCCATTGCGCAGCATGAAATGTTGGACTGTATTCCTTACGCAGAGCAGCAGCTTGGGATGCCATTTTGAGAGCGAAATGAGTGTCGGGCTGTTCGGTGGGTGGTTTGCGACAAAGATTTGGATGGGCGGAAAGGATGGCTATTGAGGTGGTCTTCGTCGAACCACTTTTTTTTTCCGCTGACTGACCTCACCATAGCTGTCGCATTTGTCAGTCACTCTAATTTTCGGGAGAGTTCGGTGCCATGGCCCAATCACGCCTTCGAAGAGTCACGTGTGTTGGTGGCCATCTCGCGCATCGTTCCAATTCTCGAGTTTTCTCATCTCGATTAAATGCGTCTCAAGGTTTCATACAGTTCCGTGTTAGGCTGCACAGCCTATTTATGTTCCTAAAATTTGAGACGATGTATGCTGTGATTTCCAAAGAAACCAAGACGTCAGCGAATTCCGTCGACGTAGCACCGTGACGGTGACCGTTCCGCGTTGCGGGGCTCCGGCCCCCTTCCGGAAAGTGGATCCTTCGGACACCGGATCGTCACCAGACCAAGGGAGCTCTTGTGACGCTACCCACCGCTAGTGACTGCACCTACCTTAGTATGAGGGGTGGGAGTTTGTTCGTGTCGTTTGCTACTACGTTGACAGGCTAGGAAGGCAGCTGAAGCTGAATGATCTGCAAGTTGTCGGCATGAATTTACCCCGTTCTGACTTCCACCTAATGGGACATTTGTACGGCAGGCTGGTGAATTGTTGGACTTGACTGAGATTTTTCAACTTTGAACTGGATAAACATAAACGTGCTTGTCCCCTCATTGAAATTCGCCATACCCTCGCGCTGTCGAAGAGTCATCGGGCACAGTTAACTAGAAGTCGCAACCATGCTGTCCATTGAGGAAATACTAGCTCTCGCTGAGCCCAACGCTGAGTTCACAGAGGTGATCCACAACATGAGCTCATCACATCACAATGTTGACCGTTCTCGCAGCTTCAACGGGCCAGCCCAATCAAGGTCGGCGCATGGAACAAGAATACGGACCTCAAACAGATCCGAGGCATCATGGCCAAGGTCCTCGAGGCCAAACTCGCGGCCAAACCCGACCCATCTACCCTGCCCTACGTCGAAGAAGACGTCCGCATCACCGTGAGAGATAGGACAGCGATTGCCGTTCGCATCCACAAACCCAGAGCCGTCGCCAATGATGGCTGTCCTGTTCTTGTAGCGTTCCACGGTGGCGGGTTCGTCATTGGCGATCTGGAGGGCGTGGGTCCCCTCTGCCAGCTCTTTACAACACTCGGTGGCATTGCAGTGAACGTGGACTATCGTTTGGCTCCAGAGCACCCCTTTCCTATCCCCGTGCAGGATTGCTTCGATGCTGTGAAATGGGTAGATCTACCCATCTAGAAGGCCTGCCTGTTACCATGTAGGGATGAGGCTGACACGGGGTAGACCGTCGATAACGCGAAAAACCTTGGAATTAATTTATCGAAAGGCATTCTCGTCGGCGGCGAGAGTGCAGGCGCGGACTTGGCGTTGGGTGTAACCCGCCTTTGGATCGACGAGAAACAGACGCCAGAGCTGACGGGCATATTCTCGTCCATCTCCGGAGCCGTCACCGAAGACACCGTTCCCGAAACGTACCGAGATCGTTTCTTGAGTCTGAAGCAGAATGCTAGTGCCCCAGTCGTGACCGCAGACTCGATCGAGTTTATCAGAGGTAAGGATCATCACAAGACGACAGCAGCACTCTAGAGGCTCAGAGTAACATCGTGCTAGCAATGTACAAGCCGGACCCGAGAAGCCCGGTGGCGTACCCTGTCATCTCGCCGGACCTGACTGGCATCCCTAGAACGTACTTCCAGGCTTGTGGGCTGGATCCCGTGCGAGACTGCACGCTTGTCATGGAGCAGGTTTGGAAGGATGCGGGAATACCAACCAAACTGGATGTCTATCCTGGTCTACCTCATGGATTTTGGGCACTGTTTCCTCAAGCAGACTTCAGCAAGAAACACCAAAGAGATCAAAAGGCTGGTCTGGAGTGGTTGTTACACAAGGACTCGGCATAGTTGACTTACACGGGCACCAACATGACTCAGGTCATCACACTTCCCTCCCCAGATTATAACCTTTCTATACATTATCATAGTCTCTTATCGAGGAAGTTCCCATATTACCGTAAGTAAATTGGTCACAATCCGTGCCAATTAAAGCCGTTGAAGCGAAAACGCGTCGTTGAGAAAAAGAAAGTTTAAATGGTGATAGGGGCGCCATCCCTGGAAATGTAGTGGCTTTGACCCCTGTAAGCTCCAAACTCAAGTGGAGCCACCCCTGCAACCTCTCAACGCGCTCTCGCCCGGCAGACGCGACGGACTAAATGGAAGGAAATCTGGGGGTGGTCGCCTCCAATTGACATCACCAACGACGTTCGAGCCTCCCGTCTACCATTTCGCATCGTCTCCCAACACCCCAAAAGAGGCCGCCAGCTCCCGTAAGGACCTCTAGTCCAATATGGCGCCCAAGTCGAAACCGCCCGAAAAGAAGCAGCAGTCGCTCACAAACTTCTTCCAGCCAAAGACGGTCAATGGCCTAGCCGCCGCCTTCCAAAAGTCGCAGTCCGAAGCAAGAACAAGCCCGCCCGAGTCGCCGGATTCCTCGCGCAAGCGCCCCTTGGAGGAGGACACGGATAGGGGCAATAATGGACCCGACAAGACCATCAAGAGAGCAAAGGGTGAAAAGGGGGACAAGGCCAATGCTGCGGATCAGGGCAAGAGCTCCTTCTTCACTCCAGGAGCCAAGCCACCCGCCGAGTCTGAGCCGAAGTCCAAGGCATCTGCAGCTTCCTCTAGGACGGGACGGTTCGCCTACAGCCAGGCTTCAGACGTGAACGAGGAGGAGGATGAAGAGGATCAAGACCCGTCCACGAAGCAGCGCAAGGAGGAGTTACACAAGAAGTTCGTCAAGAAGCTGGGCCATCCGGACAGCATGCTATGGCGGCGCCGGAGGCAAGATGACAACGAAGCCGCTGATGAGGAGGAGGGCGAAGGAGAAGAAGACGAGGACGAAGCTCCGCCGCCGCCCAAGGCAAAGAAGGGCGGTGCAAGAGCAAACAAGAAGCTCACTCCCATGGAGATCCAGTTCCTCGACATCAAGCGGAAACATCTGGATACAGTCCTCATCGTAGAGGTGGGCTATAAGTTCCGGTTCTTTGGTGAAGATGCCCGCATTGCCGCCAAAGAGCTCAGCATCGTGTGCATACCTGGCAAATTCCGCTACGACGAGCACCCCTCTGAAGCACATCTGGAAAAGTTCGCCTCTGCGAGCATCCCGGTACATCGTCTGCCGGTTCACGCCAAGCGTCTCGTTGCTGCTGGTCACAAGGTCGGCGTGGTACGCCAGATTGAGACAGCCGCATTGAAGAAGGCCGGCGACAACCGCAACGCCCCATTCGTTCGGAAGTTGACCAACGTCTACACAAAGGGCACATACATTGACGAGAATGGCGAACTTGAAACGGATGGTGATGGTGGCGCTCCTTCGGGTGGTTATCTGCTCTGCATCACCGAGACTCCCACCAAGGGGCAGGGCACCGACGAGAAGGTCGATGTCGGTATAGTAGCCGTACAGCCAACCACGGGCGACATCATCTACGACACATTCGAGGACGGCTTTATGCGCAGTGAAATCGAGACCCGACTGCTGCATATCTCGCCGTGCGAATTCGTCATCGTCGGCGACCTTACAAAGGGGTCAGACAAGCTGATCCAGCACCTCTCGGGGAGCAGCACAAACGTATTTGGTGATCGCAGCCGCGTCGAGCGTGTCCCTCGAACAAAGACCATGGCCGCCGAGGCCTACTCTCACGTCACACAGTTCTACGCCGACAAGCTGCAGCAGACCCCCGATGCCGATGCCTCGGCTCTCCTGGAGCGCATCCTCCACCTCCCCGAGCCCGTCACCGTCTGCCTCTCCGCCATGATCAGCCACCTCAAGGAATACGGCCTCGAGCACGTGTTTGACCTCACCAAAAACTTCACCAGCTTCTCCGCGCGCCAGCATATGCTCCTGAACGGAACGACACTCGAGGCTCTCGAGGTCTACCGCAACGCTACCGACCACTCGGAGCGCGGTTCCCTCTTCTGGGCTCTGGACAAGACCACTACCCGCTTCGGCCAGCGCCTCCTCCGCAAATGGGTCGGTCGGCCTCTGCTCGACGTCGCCCGCCTCGAGGAACGCGTGGCCGCCGTCCAGGAACTCGTTGACGAACAGTCCTCCGCAAAAGTCGACCGTCTGCAAACACTCCTCGCCGGCACAAAGACGGACCTCGAGCGCAGCCTCATCCGTATCTACTACGGCAAATGCACCCGCCCTGAACTCCTATCCGTCCTCCAGACCCTCCAACGCATCGCCATGCAATACCCAACCGTCAAATCCGCCGAGGCAACAGGCTTCACCTCCCCCCTCATCGCATCCGCTGTCCTGTCCCTCCCCCAGATCCTCGACCTCGTCGTCTCCCACCTCGACAAAATCAACCCCGAGGCCGCCCGCAAAGACGACAAGTACAACTTCTTCCGCGAATCAGAACAGACGGAAGACATTGAAGACCACAAAATGGGCATCGTCTCGGTCGAACAATCCCTCGACGAGCACCGCGGCGACGCCGCCTCCTCCCTCAAACGCAAGAAACCCGTCGACTACGTCACTGTCTCGGGCATCGAGTTCCTCATCGAGGTGCCCAATACGGACCTCAAATCCGTCCCGGCCTCGTGGATCAAAATCTCGGGCACAAAGAAGCTCTCCCGCTTCCACACCCCCGCCGTCGTCCGCCTCATCGCCGAGAGGGACCAGCACCGTGAAGCCCTCGCCGCCGCCTGCGACGCCGCCTTCTCCGCTCTCCTCCGCACGATAGCAGACGCCTACCAACCTCTCCGCGATGCCGTCTCCTCCCTCGCAACCCTCGACTGCCTCCTCTCCCTCTCCCGCGTCGCCGCCCTCCCGGGCTACAGCAAACCAACCTTCCTCCCCTCCACCACGAACAAACCCACAATCTCCATCGCCCAAGGCCGCCACCCCATCGCAGAACACACCCTCTCAGATCCCTACATCCCCTTCACCACAACCCTCGCCTCCCCCTCCCCGCTGGCCCACCTTATCACGGGCCCCAACATGGGCGGCAAATCCTCCTTCGTCCGCGCCGTCGCCCTCCTCGTCCTCCTAGCCCAGATAGGCTCCTTCGTCCCCGCCGACGCTCTATCGCTAACCCTCACCGACGCAATCCACGTCCGCATGGGCGCCCGCGACAACCTCGCCGCCGGCGAATCGACCTTCATGGTCGAGGTCTCGGAGACGGCGCGCATCCTCCGCGCCGCCACCCCGCGCTCCCTCGTCATCCTCGACGAGTTGGGCAGAGGCACCTCCACCCACGACGGCGCCGCCATCGCCCACGCCGTCCTCGATCACGTAGTCCGCGAGAACAGGTGTCTCACCCTCTTCATCACGCACTACCAGAATCTCGCCCGCCTAGCCGAGGGCATAGGCGAAGGCCTCGTCAAGAACGTCCACATGCGCTTCACCGCCACCCGCAGAGCCGGGGCTGGGGCGGAGGAAGGCGACGTCGATGCGGATGATGATGAGGCGGGTGCTGACGAAGAAATAACGTTCCTGTATGAAGTTGGAGAGGGTGTTGCGCACAGATCGTATGGACTAAACGTGGCTCGTTTGGCTCGCATACCCCGCAAGGTCATTGATGTTGCCTCGCAGAGGTCGCGCGAGATGGAACAGGATGTAAAGGTCCGGAGGTTAAGGGGCACCGCTCGTCTTCTCACCGAAGTCCTTGAGACGAACCCCGACCAGCTTGATCATTTGATCTCAAACATTGAGCAATTGTAGGCAAATATATCACGGACAATCAAAAGTAAACATATGTACTATGAATCCTTGTGTTATTTCTCGAAAGTGCGTCTGGTGTGACTAGTTGACGCGGTATGACTGCGCAAGACCGAAAACTGCGTTATCTATAGCCTCCTTTGCCTCCCGAAACAAAAAAAAGTCGATGGGTAAAGTCCTAGAAACCTGGCGGGGCTCTTTGCAGTGCCACCGCTTATGGATGTTCCACCACATTCCCCATGATTTCTTGCTTGCAAGTATCGCGCAAGCCTAGCAGCATGTGTCCTATTCCCGCCCTCTTAACTACCCTGTGTTCCACCCCGACGCCATTTGAGCGAGGATCCGCAAGCGAGTTAGTCGTTTCCAGAGGAAGGCTCACCCCGCGTCACCCCGAGCTCAAAAGTGGTCCGGTGATGTAAAGGAACGCAGGAGAAGATTGCGTATCTACTCGAACAACTGTGGGGTATCAGCACTGCCCAATTGCGCCTTCGCCAGAACGTCAGACTTACTTGAAAAGAAAGAAACCGAAGAACGAAACCCAGATAAAGAGTCCCCGCGGTGGTGGCTTGTGATGAACCCATGTCACCAACGGGAACGTTGTCGAGTTGCGCAACTAGGCCCCATGTCCATTCTGGTACACGCCCGAGCCCTGAGCGTGGTCATGGTGGCCGTTGCCGAACGTGTTCATCATGGGCATCTGCTGAGAAAACATCATCTGCTGATGATTGTGATTGGCATTGATGGGGTTGAATCCATGGTGGCCGGCGCGCAACATTGGGTTACCCCAGACCGGGTTGAGGTGGTACATGTCAGGCATCGAGTATCCGGTGAAGATGTTGGGGTCCATGTTGATGGCAGTAGTCATTCCAGCCTGGTTCAAGTGAGTGTTGTTGACACCATAGAAGTCAATGCTGGTCATCTTGTGTTCCTGTACACCATTGTTATTTTCCTTTCCTGTGAAAGTTCGACGTGAAAGCTGCTTCGCAGCCGGAGTAGGAGAGGCCATGCTCAGATTCGAGTTCGCGTTCATCGACCGGAGGGGTATACGATTGCGGACGTCGAATCTGCGCACATAGGGGTTAATACACAACATTACTAACATGATGAGAGTTTTCGGGGATGGACCTAGGCTCATCCTTCACCGTAGTCGAAGCTTTGGTGCCTATAATCTGAGTTAGTGGGTGGGCAGGAAGACGAATATAGTATAGTACAGAGACTTACCGGCAGCGCTGCCACCTTGGAACACGTCGGAGACGCGATCAGTGACGGTGAAGAACTGGTCGTTAGGACCCCGGTCGGGACCTCCAATTTCCTTGTGAGATTCATCAAGCTCGATCATTCCGGCGTAGCCGAGAGTATCGCTGTCACCATCGGCGGTGCTAGCGATGTCGCTCGTGACATCGAACTTCTCCGAGAGGGACTCGCTGTCGAGCTCCGAAACTTCTTCCTGTTTGTAGAGACCATTCTGGAGCTGCATAGCCAAAGCAGAAGATGCACGGTGAGCGGCTTCGTCAGCGAGCTCCTCCTTGACAACAACTCCCGAGGCATTGCCATCCTCCTCTGCGGCACCGCTACGTCTCTGACGACGTCTAGACTTCTTGATGACCTGTTTGAGCGATTGAAATAATTAGTAAGATACTGCTCTGCCTCGTGGCATATGCTTTGACTAACCGGGCTTCCCTCAACGGAAGGGGCATCATAGACATCACGAGTTCTCTCGAACTCCAAGTCCAGATTTGCCACGATCTCCAAGGTGGTGATCGCCTGAGACGAAAGCTCCATCTTGCGAAGCACAGAGGCGTCCTTGCGCTGGTTCCGTTGCTTCTTCTGATCAGGGGTGGCGGCATCAAAGATGCCCATGCCCGGCCAGACGGTTCCCTTGAGTCGAGCAGACTCCAAGTCATCGGGACCCCACTCAATGGCATCATCGGTAGGAGTCGAGGCCGAGGCCAGATCATCGTTGTCACCGTAGTATGTGATGGCCTGCTGCTGGCCAAGAAGTCGACCGGTAGGAGGAGGCGTAAACATGGAGTCATCAGCCTCACGCTTGACAAGGGTCGAACGAGCCTTCTTTCTCTTGAGGGTCTGTCCCAGTCAGTACATGAAAAGTTCTTTGCTCGACAGGATGCCTACCTGAGAAGTTGCCTGTCCAGATCGCGAGAAACCTCTCGCCTTTTCATCCTTGGCCTTGAGGCGCTCTGCAAGCATACGCTCGATACCATAGTCCTTGTACCACTTGTCGTAGGTGGCAACTTTGTCCGCGGCGGCGAGATCCTGAGTGGCGCGGATTCTCACATCGTTTTGAGTCTGAAGGTGGCCCTTGGAACTGAGGTGGGTCAGAAGATGGGAGAGGTCGGAGAAGCGCGGGGTACTCGTGCAGACAAGGCAGACGAGGGGAATTCCAGGACTGCCCGAGGGCTTGGGGTCGTCGGGTGGATTCTTGGAGCTAGGGGCCTTGCCGCTGGCCTTGACAGTGGAGGACTTCTCGATCTTGATAGGCTTGAGCTGCTTGTTTCTGGATCCTTTGAGGATCTTGACGGGCATGACATCGTCGGCCTCGTGGGCTGCGACGGCGGCCATGTTCTGTCCAGAGTCAGCATTTGCAGCCTCTATAATTCATGGAGCCAGTCGTTACTGACTAGCCGTCTTTCCATGGTCTGAACAGAGCGAGTGGGATGGAAGACAGGCTTGTCTGCTCGTAGTAACCAAAACACAAAATGAGGGGAGGAAGAGAACGACGGATATTTCGAATATCAGCAGACAGAGGAAGGGCAGCACGGAGCAATGAAAGCCAAGGAGTGAAGTCGAAACGCTCAGTGCAAATGGGAGGTGTCAGTGGAAGCAAAGGGTGGCTGTGATGGGAGGAGGAATGTCGATGATTGGGAACATCCGACGAAAGAACGGATGTATCGACAATGACTGTTGTGCCATCCAAGAGGGTGGGCATAGACTCCAGATAGGAGAAGGGATGTACTCACGGCTTGAGCAGCAAGAGCCGCCTGACGTCTAGGAGCCATTTCGGAAAGACGGGAAGAATGATGTTATCCATAGTAACAACAAGCCTGCCGTCCCAAAATGAACGGAGAAGGTACGCTGGTATGAGATCGAAATCTGGCAAGAGGTGGTTCTTGAGGTTCAGGTACTCTTTCCTGCAAAATGAATTCGTCAGTGGCAGAAATTTTGGGGATGAAGGAAGCTGTGACACCGGCTCTTTCTCAACAGTCGGAAACCCTGATGAAGGAGCAGAGGCAAGTCCCGGTCTTGTCACCTGACGTAAAGGGGCAATGTCACTTTGAGGAAGGCATCGGCAATGCGGACCCTCAAGCCTCCGGTATGAACGTGTTGTCGCCGACCATCTGCCCATTGGCCCGGGAGAATGACGGCAATTTGATCCTGAAATTGCCGTGCGATTGGTGACCCCGACCGTGTTGCAACGGACAAGCCTCACTCGCTGGATGAAGGTGAAAGACTTACCAAAGTACCACAGATTGAGCTCAAGTTGAGAGGTCAGCTGTTGGTTCTGAAGACCACGGGAAATAGACGGGTTATCGTGTGTATTTGGGTTCTATGAGATTGGCTTCATTAGTAAGGATTTCTCTCCAAGAACTCGTGGTTTTTCAGGCAATGGCTCACCGTGTGTCCTGAATACAACCAAAAGACTCTCTGTAGTCGCGTATCTTGCTGAATTGCTGCGCTGATTGATAGATCGTATCACCAACCCAAGGAACTAGATTGCTTCTGTATGGAAAAGTAAGTAAGAGTGGACCAAGACTGTCGATGTGTTTGTAGAGGAAAGAAGGAAGAGTTTGAGCCCAGAGAAGAGAAAGGAGAAGAGAAGGGCAGAGAATAGAGCGGGTACAAGAAGCCCGGGGCTGTTGCCCTTCCTTAGCTGTAGTACCAAGAGGGCGGGAGCAGAGACTGGCTCTCGCCATTCCTGGATGAACAGAACTGGCGGGAGCAGAGAATAGCTCTCGCCATCATATGTTGACAGGATAGGCGAGAGCAGAGAGTAGCTCCCGCCGTCTGAAGTCCAAGAAGAACAGCAGAATCAGATCCTAGCTCTCGCCGTCCCAAGTCGGACAAGACTGGCGGAATCAGAAGCTAATTCTCACCGTCTCATATCAAGCGAGATCAGAGACTAGCTCTCGTCGTCCAAATTTGAACAAGGTGGCGAGATCAAAGACTGGCACTTGCCGTCTCAACTTGAACAAGACTGACGGGATCAGAGGCTGGCTCTCGTCGTCTGACCTTGGACAAGACTAGCACTCGCCGTCTCAACTTGAACAACACTAGCAAGATCAAAGACCAGCTCTCGCCATCCTGGGTTGAACAGGACTGGTAGGAGTGTCTTGAACCAAGCATAGCTCCTGAAGCAGGAGCAGAGACGAGCACTCGCTGTCTCTGTATTGAAGAAAAAGGGCCAAAGTTGGAGCACACTTGAAGGTGGCTCTCGCCTCTTCAACTTGACAGGATATGAAGAAAAGAAAGTCAGGGAATCGTTTTCCAGCACTTGCGCTTGCAAACGTGTCTGAACAAACCACTCAGAATAGACAGTATCACCCACATCGTGAGGAATCTTCAGATGCCCAAGTGTTGAGACGGAAAGGGTATTTGAAGACGAATAATAAAACAGAAAACTTGCGATGAGAACCTTGCTCGGACGGTGCATCTGAGGAATGAACGGTTGGGACGATCAAAGCGTTGCGACGAAAGCAATCGTTCGATGAAAAGTAGACCGTGACGAGAACAACATTCGATGGTGATGTTCACCAGAAAGAACAAGAGCATTGAGATCAAGGCGAAGGACAATGATTTGCAACAGAAAGAGACAGAAGAGACGGACCAATCTGGAAAGTATTGCGTGAAGGGAAAACAAAGCCGGGAACGCGAAAAATGAAGCCAAAGAAGGTGTTCGGTGATGATTTTGACATGAAAATAAACAACACCACGTACCTAGTCCCTGAACTTCCTGAGAAACGGGTGTGGAAGTAGAATCTGGTATTTCAAGTGCTTTTTGTCAATGCGTATCTGCGAATTGCTGAAATTCCCCCGATGGGTAGCGGGAGGAGGATGAGGATGTTGGTCCAGAAGCAGTGCTTGGAACTGGGATTTTGCGAAGGTCGAAGGCGATCTGATGATGGTCGTACAGACGAATCTGGGACGGGAAGAAAAATACAGGTGCGACGGTGTCGTACAAAGGGTGTATTTCGAAAGAAGTGGAAGTGTCGGGACAGTGTTGTAATCGAAAGCAGAGAGGAAGGAAAACCTGGACAGGCGACCGAATGAGACGATCAAAGTCCAAGAGAATGGTGTAGTTGTTGGTGAAATCTCCAAGAGGTTGAAGATATCGAGACTTCTTACGGCGTGGAGGAGGAAGATGGGTTTGTTGTGATGGAGGCGGAGGGCGAAGTATGAGAGACGAGAGAAAGGCCGACAGACGCGTGTGGTGGGGCCGCTCGGTGAGCGGGTGGGTGGTCTTCCGGAGTGGAGGGCATCACCACGAAGCTAAGCCTACACCGACCGCAGTGCACGTGACTGGGTGGTTTGATGCCGAAATAGGATATGGGATGAGGGTCGGGCGGTGTGAGAAGTCTTGGTACCTTACAAGGCTTCGAGATGAGGGTTCAGCGGGCGAGCCAGTGAAGCGCTCCAGGCGTATCAGTTCAACCTTGAGGTACCTTAGTGCAGGCGGTACTTCTGGACGAGATGAGGCTATATTTTCAATGGCCATGAGGTCAGAAGCAACTACATATGCCTAAAGTACATTTGACGAGGATGATATGACACTTGCAACAGATATTTGACTAAGCCTTAGACTGAAGTAGAGCAGTAGGGAGTGTGAATGGAGAGGAACGGGAATTTGTAGATTGATTTACCTTCCAACTTTTAGAACAAGTTGGCGCAACGGTGACTGGACTGACTTGTGTTGTATTATGGGGCTGATGATGGATTGTTTTACGTATCATTAACTTGCTCTCATGGGTATCTTAAGCTTTCGAGTATCCCAGGGGCTATCTCCCAGCAAGTCGTAAATGAGGCTACGTAGACTGTGGACAAGCCGACACTACTGCTCCCTTCTCGACCCGCATCCTCATACCTCTACTACTGAGGCAGGCCACAAGTCTACTTATGTGAACACATATATCGAGAACCAGGCGTCTGACCTTAAGCCATCATCCATCCGTTAACCCTTCCTATATTCCGTCTCAACAGTTCACGACGACTTCCTCCCAAGCACCCGATCAATCGTCGGCTTCGGCATACAATACACCGGATCAACCTCCACCGTCCCCGGATACCCCAACAAACTCAACCCCGTCATCCCAAAGCACGTATGCCACACATCAACCGTATTCCCCGGCCGATCCGAAATCCCGCCCAACTCCTGATCCTGACACTTCAGTATGAACGCAACAAGCTTGCCCCGATCAATCCAGTGCGTCCGCCCGATAATCTCCAGACTACTCAACACCCACCAGCTATAACACACGTCCTCGTCCTTCTCCGGCCTGCCATTCAACCCGCCCCCCGCAACCTGCCGCTCGCTGAGCCATCGGCCTAGCTTATCCGCCTCCACGAGGTCCAGACGCCCCGCGATGGCGAGCGCCGCAACGCACGTGAAGATCTGGCCCGAGTGAGACTCGTCGCCCGGGCTGACGCCGTACCCGCCGTCAAAATTTGTGCAGGCGACAATGTGCGCGACGGCCTTGTCGACGTCCACGAGGGAGAGCAGGCCCAAGAGGGAGAGGGCGTTGAAGGCGCCGTACAAGAAGCGCGTGTCCTCCTCGCCCCATTCGTCTCCTGCAAAGGTACCGCTTTCACGGTTCTGGAGGTCCGCAATGACTTGAGATGGCGAGTGTTAGCCCACTGCCCCCAAAACCTGTGACGTAGTGAGAGTGCTTTAATGTACTTACACTTGCCAACCTGCGCCTTCCCTTGACCCTTACCCCTCGCCTCCAACTCATCCAGCGCATCAATCATGACCAGAATCTGAACGGCACTAACAGTGTACAACATATGCGCGTCGTGGCCCGGCGCGGCCCCGAACCCCCCGCTCTCATGCTGACACGAGAGCACGAAATCAATCGTCTCGTCCCGCGGGAGAGCCTCCGGGTGGCCGAGGAGGTGCAGCGCTACCAGGCCCCAGTAGAGACCGTTGAGGCGCAGGTGCTCCGTCAGCCAGTAGTCGTACTCGTCTTTGCGGGTATCAAGGCTCTGGACGTATTTGACGTGCGCCGCCGTCGCCAGCTTGAGCTCGTCTGGCAGGTTCTCGAACTGGGCCGCCATGACGCCACCCTTTTTCTCTTTTGGTTTTCCCCCTTTCGTGTGACTTGATCCGGGCGTTCGTATCTGAGGTAAGATCAGAAAAGATTTATGGAGAATTAAAACCGAACCAAACTTTCTCAATAATACCTAGGCAGGCGTGAGAGGATGGATGAAGTGAGGTTGTTCGCTTAGGTAATGGTGGTGCAGGGCCGGTACGCAGGGTTCTGCCGACTGCCGGGCCGTGAAGTCCATCTAGTGTGGGGTGACCTCGCCGCCCTCACCGAGGTGTGTAACCCACCCCATGCTTAACGGATCCGAAGGTGACGTCCGTGACGTCTTAAGTATCCGACAACTTCTGGCCGTCTCTTACCTTACCTTGCTTGGTGATAGTCTCGCTCACTCTATGCGGTGATGCACCATGACTTTATCTACCTTAGTTACTGTACTTGAAAGGCAGCCAGCTGAATTGCCAACTGGGGTCAACCGGGAGTTGGGTTTAAGGAACTCAACAGTTGACCGAGAGACGGACCTGAGAACCAAGCTCATCTTTAACCTGGGATCGTTAAACAGGATTAGGCTGGATTCTTGGCACCATACTACATGCCCGCCATGCAAACTTACAATCCCCAAAGCACCGCAGCAAGATCGAATTATTTTTCGTGATCCTATCATCTTCCCGAATCCATTCGTGGCAGCTCTTCTAGTAGGAGTGGTGTGTAACAAGTAACTACCTCCGCCAGACTGAGGAGGCTGATGCTTGGCACGGCTATTGATGGTGGCTGGAACCCGGTCTTGCAGAAACTTGCCGTCCAATAAGTGTTGAAAGACGTACTTGTCCTGGAGAGGTAACGAGATGGCGGAGAAGTACTTTAGGCTCTGGGATCGACGACAAGGAAGGCTTAGAAACGCCCTTCTTTTCCCGATCTCATCTTGGATGGATGAGGATTACGCAAGACCCATCATCAAAAGATCGCAAGTACAGACGGGGTCACCAGAGCCGCCCTTGACGGCACCGTACACAGTAGAAGAAGGTGGCTTGGACTGGGCAGTTGGAAGGAGATGGTGCAGGCTTGATCCTGCGAATAACCTCACACCCCGCCGGGCGAACTATGACATATCGGACACCCTCCCTTTTGAGACGGCTTGGGCTAGAGCCAGTTCTCCCGAGGAAGAACGCAGCGTTGTTGGGCCCGAATCTGCGCACCCAGACTCTAAAGGCGGGTCCTCGCGGGCATAACACAGTATCCGTACGAGAATACGTGCCACTTCCATATTGACAACTGGAGCCATCATCCAGGCTTGTGCCAGGCCAGGAGCAACGGAGGCGAAGCCACGCTGCCACGCTGCCATGTGCGCGTACCAACCCTCTTTTCTGGGTCTTTCCCGTCCAGACACCGTTCGGGGCGTTGTTGACATTTACTCATCGTGCCCACACCTGCGGGGCTTTTCCCAGCGTTTGTCGAAGAAACACTACCGAGTTTCAGAGTGATCGGTTGTGTGCCTGAACTAAGCTCCTTTCGGACAACGGTGGTGTACGTTGGCATTCAGGCCTGTGCGAACCATGACGCCGTTGTCAGAGACCAAGTACTTCGTAGGCCCTGAACGCAGAGTGCTATTCCCTTTCCATGGTAAGGCTCTGGGAGACTTCGTTCATGTCCTGTCGCTCATGTTGCTAGAGCTGGTGTACGGAAGTTATGGCTGTAAAGCTGCTTTGCGATACGGCACAAGCTAGCTGTATCCTCGACTAGGCTTGAGTCTGTCAACTCATAACCGAGAGAGATCGCCGCGGCAAGTGGGTAACTCATCGTTGATATTAGCAACCGAACCCGCTATCCGCCCGCGAGGTACTTGACCGCTGACGACACGCCGTGGGCTTGGAGTTGATTATAGTGCTGCGGAAGTTCCCAACTAGAGCAAAAAACGCCTCGGGTAAGTGAATCTGCGAATATCTCGTATCGAACGTAAGTAATCTCAACCGTCCTGCGTTGTTGAAGCCGAGGCCACTTCTCCACGAGAAGCCATACAGCGAACAGTGACTTCCTAGTATTGGCTGAGATAGATACTTGATACCTTGTACACGCTTCCGTTCCGTCGATCTCTAACCACCTTCATTGGCAATGCGGGACTTGGTATCAGTGAGAATGACGACAGCTCTAGCGTAAAGTTCGGCAGAGTTTCTACTTCTTCTGCGCCATGACCCGTCGTCTCGTCCCTCTGGATAACTTTGCTCAAAATAAGCCCTCTCACCAAAGAGAGTGCACGTTTTCGGCACAATCTTTCGAGATAAGGCTAAAGCCGGCACGTTGCGGCAACACTTGACGTGCTCGGTTCGAAACGAAAGCCAGAATACGTGCATTGGTTGGTTGCCAACCAGTCCGAGGCTTACGACTTGGGAGGCGATGATATGCTAGATGGCTTCGTGTTGCCTGTGCTTTGCAGATGGACGCGCAGTAGCGCGACTCCTCGCCGTCAAATCAGTGGGCAGCCGGCAAGCTTCTTGTCTTCTTGTCTGGCCAGGGAGGCAAGTTGAGCGAGTCGAGCCGAGCTCACCGTTGGACGGAGTAAGGGGATCTTCGACTCGGGCTTCCAAACACTCTGGAAGGGTCTGAACGTGCAGAAGAACCGCACAGAGTGCGTCGGTAGCGTGCTGGCTGCGTCGCGACTTGTCACATCATGCCAGATCAGTCTGTTGCTCCGTTCTCTGTCGGCAACGCCTAGCCTCGTCTTGCAAGTGTACATACTGTCGCGGTGTTCTGACCACGTGGTGCTCCATATTACGGGTTTGCTTCAGGCTTCATCCCCTCCCTCACATTTGAGGTAACCCGCTCGTGGTCAGTCACCTGAACTTGCGGAGCGCCTATCGGACTTCGGAGGTGCCGTCATCACGACATATAACGGCGCACAGCTTGATGCCCGAGCGGCGGGACCACAGACGGCCGTACTGCTGCGGAGGCACTGACCGTCTTGGTATTGCCAATTAACGTATCCCGAGATAGACGACTAGAAAGATGACCGGTTCTAAGGGGTGACCGCAAGTTGTGTCATGAGGTAATGCAACGCTTAAAGCTTACATGGACGGCTGCAAGCAGTAAGCACCCCTGGCGTTGCTCACATTCCAGGCGATGCAAAACGTGGCAATCCTAGAATTGACTGCGTTTCAAGAGTCTGGCCTCCTGGCAGTCCAGTGGGCAATGTCCTCCAAGAGTCGAGTTGAATAGGGTATTCATTCAATGCCTTGGCATGGGACACCGAAGGAGCCGACTCCCAGCGAGATCCCTTTCAGCTTGGTGTTTTTAAATCATCTGCAAAAGGCAGAGAACAGACTCCGTCATCGCCATCGGAGCAAGTTTCCTTCATTGGCCGGGATCGTGTTGGGTGCTGAGTCTGAGTATACCGCTTGCGAATACGAATCGTGACACGGACGAAGAGATCACCGATAGATTTGGGATATGTATTCCCTTTTTAGTACAAACAATGCGCCCAAGCTGGTGGTCGCTGTTAACGAACGACTTGTTGGTTGTCGCGAGTCCACAAAGAAGGCACTTGTAAAGGCGACCTGATGGTGAGGCTGGCATGGTTGACTCTGCGATCCAAGACGGCTCGTCCAGAATGGTGCTTGGCAGGTATGGCTTCCCAATAGCTTGAGCAATGTCAATGTCAAACAGACGTGCGCTGCCCAAATCGACACTACAGGAGGACCGGACCACGATCTGTGCGCGGCGACTGGCGGATGAGACTGGCAAGCGGCAAGCCGTTGGCCTGGTTCGTTGTTGGTCGACTAAGGCTGTTAATGCAACTAGGCCGCAAGCAGCCACGGTTCTTCGGACGTCTTTGGTGGCAGAAGACCGCTTGAGGTAATTGCAGTGCTGAGGGATAATGGATGGAGCAAGGAGGCAGATTGAAGAATGTATCGGTTTCAATGGCCAGAGCCGCATTGAGGCCTAACCGGCAACGGACGGCACCAATGCGCCAGGGTAGACACGCACGCCGTATCCGTAGAAGCCGACATGGGCGACATGGTAATTAAAGAGAGTTGAGCAACAAGATGAGGGTATTCCAATACGTCGTGTTGAATATGGCAAGGAAAGGTAGCATAGGTCCAACACGAGGTGGTGGCTAGCGCAGCAAATGATGTTAGTGTGTAGTTGGAGCAAGGTACCTAAGCCGCAAATGAAGTGTGATGCGGTGTCAGGCCATTGCGAGAGGGAATCTCAGAAGTCCAGGACATTCAGGAATCAGCACAGCCCGAGGCCCCCACAGCGACCTGCCCAACGTTCTCACCTGGTGCTTGTCGGGATTGACACCATCAGACCAATTGGCACTACGGCCGGAGTGCCCTCTCTCCCTCTCGTGCCGCGTTGTGTCCCCCATTCTTTCCTCCAAGCTCCCCGCCGGGCATCAAGACTCGAATGGAAGGCGATGCCTGTCACCGGGCAGTTACCACCACCCCGGCCCTCTTGCCTTCATCCGCCAGGTGTCGTTCAGGGTCGGATCCACACCGGGCCATGGCTCCTTCCTGCCAGTGACAGATTTCCCGAGTCCCCCCTCTTAGGTACTGCGTATGTATGTAAATACGCCTCTTTTCGGACGTCTCTAACCACTGTCTGAGGTAACGGCTTGTGACTCCACAGTCTCTCCTCTATTTTTTGCAGGCAGGAGCTCGACGAAAGCAAGCGCCGCGCCTTCCTTCTGAGGTTGGTAGGGTCTTCCCCCCATGTAGCTGTACCTTACAGATCCTGTGCTTGGCTCCCGGTTCCAGGTACAGGCACGGACATAGACAGGCCTCACGCTGGGCTGGCTACCACCCTCTCCCTTTGGTAAGGTAAGGTAGGTAAGGTACCTCGGGCACTCCAGGTCTGTAGGGGAACTGTTAGTTTGCAACTTTGTACCCATCAATCAATCCTTGACCCAAGGTACCAACATCTATCTTCCTTTCTTTCTTTCTTTCCTCCCCCAGTTATTCTGCCCGTTATTCATGTTCAATAATGATTGAAACTTCCTTCACATCCAACCTTTTTCAGCCACCTGGCTGTTCTTATACGGGAACACAATAGGGAACAAACCAGAACAAGTCAAGACAAAGCCGCATCTTTGGTTCAGTCGTCCCCAAGCTTGCAATGCCCATCCCATACCTAGTTGCATCAAGCCTCCTTTCACACGCCCCGACCTCTCCAACACGGGCGGGCTGCTTTCACCTAATACTTAGCCATACTGTACTTATCTCAAGGAGCCTTGCTTTGTACCTGACCTTACCTTACCTTACCTCACAGGTACTGTTTGGTTACCAACCTACCTGGTACCTTACCCCCCCTTCTTCCCTACCTACTTTCACTCTCACACACCATCTCTCTCAGGTACCATCTCAACTCCATCTTTCATTCACTCACACATAGTCACTCACTCACTCTCTCATCCTTCATCTCCCTCTTCCTCTCTATACTACATTGCACACTTTCATCACCCGCCCGCGCCTTAGGTTATGCTAGGTTAGGTGATCTATCTCTATTTCCTGAATCGCCCACCTACTACAGATTTCCATTCCTTAGCCTGTCTCCCCCATCTGGCACTTTACCCCTTCCACCTCCTGATATCCCCGACAGATGCGTGATCCGTCTGGTCCCAGTGCGCGCACCGAAACAGTTGGCCCTCCTGCGGCAGAGAACGAATCAGGATAGGGACCGTTTCTGGCTTCCTTGCCCGTCCCATCTCAACCTATCCCATCTCATCCCGATCCTGATTCTGATCCTGTCCTGTGCCCTGTGTGTGCCTGTCTCCCCGTCGCACGTCGCACTACCCTCTCCCCTCGCCGCACCAGTACATACACACAGTCTCTCTACCGATACCACTATTACCACTACGAATACTTCGTGCAGCTTGAGCCCTGAGGTAGCCCATGCAGGCCGGGTGCTCTCTCTGGAGTCTGCCTCACCTCATCCACCTCACCTTACTTACCCCGGGCTGTTGGATTCGTACCGTACGGATCCCCAAGCTGGGTGGCCCTGACCTGATTGAGGAGCTCCTGCGCTGCCTCTCTGCTGCCACCACCCATCGCCGCCCGCCCACCAACGCCTTGTCTGTGTCGCCGCGCCCTCTGGGTATCATCCTTGACCGGGCCCCCAAAATCTCCTATTTCATTCAGCTACCCGGGGAATAAAAAAAAGAGAGGCACATTATTAATTTCCTACCATGGGCCGGAAGCATGCACCACAGCCGCTGACGCTGTCTGAATCTCAAGCCTCCTCCGACCAGCCTGAAGACGTGCCGCGCTCTGCTGAAACCCTCGCCTCTGCCGTTCCTCCAAGCGCTGGCTCTAAATCGCAATCCTCTCCCAGATCTCCGCGCTCTCCCTTTAGGTTCACTCCGAAAAGGCCCAGCGCAAGTGGCAAGCAGTCTCTCCAGTTGACCGACGAGCATCGAAACTTTCAAGACCAGGACGACGACGAAGACCTCGAACAGTATCAAGCCATCTCCTCCGCCCTCCACCGCGCCTCCGAAGACACGCCCCCTCGCCAGCATCATCAGCACAACCCCATCAGCCCTCGTCAACAACAGCACCGCCCCGACGAGCCATCCCGAAGACCCTCCAAAGCCGCCGGCTTTTTCTTCAATTTCACAAAGTCTGCCAACAAATCGTCCCATTCTCTCGTCTCCCCCGCGCAGTCGCCCTCACACCCTCAGCGCCAGCACCAGCAACACCAACAGAGCCCGATCCAGTATCCTGACTCGAGAGGCGAAAGTATGTCGAGGGGCCCCGACAATGCTCCTCCCATGAGCAACCAACCCACCCAACCTTTAGGTACGAGGATAACTTTCCTTCTTGAGACCGTAGTGTCCACTGCCTGTGCAGCTGGGGCCCACTACCTGATCCATCCCCCGTTTCGCCTATCGTGAGACCATTTCTTCAGTCGCTGACCCGTATGCCATTTCACCAGCAGATCCGTCCTATGCTGAGCACTCCGTCCAAAAGCCCGCACCCACCCTGCCGTCCCGCTCCGACGTATCTTTAGCCTCTGCTGCCGACTACGATACTTCTACCGCCCAACCCTCCTCGTCCAAGAAGTCCAAATCGAAGCCATTTGGTCTTCTAAGCCGCAGCAAGTCGCTTCGCGACAAGGACGGCTCAAGCTCTCGAGACAAGCAACCCAGCCCGGTGCCCGTATCGATTGTCGAACCCGAACCGTCGCACACCTCGACGAGCCGTAACCACTCGCTCAACAATACCAGCACTGGACCCGAAAGGTCTGCCAGAGAAATGGTGAACTCTACCGGGCGGAATCGCTCGGAAGACCGCGCGTCGCCCCGGGAAATGAGCCACAAGGACAATCATAGGGAAAAGGACCACCACCCTCGGCAAAACTCGTCTTCACAAAATGGTGGCTTTTTCGGAGGACTGAAGAGTGGCAGAGACATTATTAGCAACCGGTTATTCGGCAAGGGTGGCCGTAGTGGAAGCACGACGGAGAGGGAGCCTGTCATCGACGATGAGCACTACACGCTCAAGACAATCAATCTGCCTCTGGTCGAGCAGACGCGTCGCACACGCATCTCGAAGCGCTTGGAGGATTCAAGAGACAAGACGGAGTTTTGGATGCCCGCTTTCCCGTGGCGCGCGATCGACTACTTGAACTATAAGGGCTGTGATGTGGAAGGCTTGTACCGTGTGCCTGGCAGCGGGCCGCAGATCAAGAAATGGCAGAGGAAGTTTGACGAAGGTTTGTTCATCACACATGCGTACGCAAAGCTGGCGCCAAGCTAACCGTCTCTTTCTAGAGTACGATGTAAACCTCTTCGAACAGCCGGACCTCTATGACATCAACATCATAGGCTCCATGCTCAAGGCTTGGCTGAGAGAGCTTCCCGATGAGCTATTCCCTAAGGCGGCCCAGGAACGAGTTGCGAGAGAATGCGCCGGCTACGAAACCGTGCCCCCACTATTGGTCGAAGAGCTGTCGAACCTCTCGCCATTCAACTACTACCTTCTTTTCGCAATCACCTGCCACCTCAGTTTGCTCCTGGCGCATTCCGACAAGAATAAGATGGACTTTAGGAATCTCTGCATTTGCTTCCAGCCATGCATGAAGATTGACGCATTCTGTTTCAGATTCTTGGTCTGCGACTGGCGCGACTGCTGGAAGGGCTGCAAGAACGAGGCAAAGTTCATTGAGCAGGAATATCAACTATTCGATCAGCCACCCCCAAAAGGCCTCTCGGAACCGCGCAAGCCGTCTCGTGAGACGAGCGAGGAGCCTGCGGCCCCCGTAGCGCAGGAAGAACCCGCTCCTGTGACGTTGGACGATCGCGCGGCATCGTTTTCGGAAAGCAGTAAGCAGTCCAGCATTGTCACTGAGCAGCAGACCAAGGAGAAAGACAGACGGCTAAAAAAAAAGCCCATCCAACTTTCTGAGTCAAACGGCAGCGTCGCATCCAACTCGACGATGGGTACGACGCTGACGATTGACAGCGGCCGTGAGCCACGGGGCTCGAATGACTTGCGGCCCTTGTCACCCATCAAACCCCTTTCACCACTCGGCTTCTAAAACACCATTTTGAGTATCCTTTAGTTTCTTTCTTCCTCGAATACCCAGGCGGAACTCGTGTGTACAGGGAACACTTTAGCATCACCAACAACAACATCACTGACGACATCACGCCACTGACGACTTCCGTTCTTCCTCCTCCGAGCGACTCTCCCTGCCCCGGTCCTGTGCCAAGCCTATATCGGATGTCACCAAAAGTCATGGCATGAACGGATGACTTTGAACAACAGACCGGGTATCTCTTCATTTGCGACACAGCATTATGCTATTTGGTATACCCCCAGGGCATCGAACCGTATCACAAAAGCCGTCGATTTTACCGTTTTCAGGAAACTGCGTTGGCCGAGCTTTCATCGACATGCAGGTTCTTGAGCAACCAGAGCTAGATCAAGTGTGGCAATCACTAGTAGTAGCTCTAGGTTTGGGTACCTAATTTTTTCCTTCCTTCTTTTGCTTTGGTGAGGTGCCGCGGATATAGCGTGGTTTGGTCTTTAGTAGCATCGTAGGAATTGCGTGAGCGAGGAGCATTCACGAGATGCTTGATGGGGGACGGGTGACGATTCATAGGGCCACGAACAACATGACTGCAGGGGTCGGTGGAATCTCTGTACAATATAGGACTCTTGTATGTAGGACAAAGGGGATGCGCGCGGCGACAGCCACGTCATATGCTCCCCCATTTTGCAAAACAAAATCGGAGGACGAGTTCACAGCAAGACTTGACGGCTTGTAGTAACGTGAGTTGTGGCGGGCCGAATCTTGAGCCACAAAGCGCCTCCATTTGCTTTTTGAGATACCGATGCCCTCTTCCTGTAGACAAAATATGCCGAGAAATGATTTTTACCACCATGTGAACGCCGTAACCATGTGCCGAAACCCGAAGCATTACATATTCCGCATCCCACGCTTTCCTCTCGCTCATCTCCTTTACCGCTTCTCCCGCTTCTCGCCGGCCTCTCGCTGGTTCTTCCTCATTTTTCTCTCGTTGCGCTTGATCCTCTCCTTTCTTTCCCTCCGCTTGTCGCCCTGCCAGGTGGTGCCCTCCTTGCGCTTCGCCTCCTCCTTGGGATCGACCTCGACGAGCCAGTCGTCCTCGCCCTTCTTGTTCATGCCCTTGTAACCCCACTTGGCGCGCCACTCCTTGGTGTCCTCGTCAAAGACGAGGTTGCGGCGCTGCTCGCGCGTCTTGGGCTTGATTCCGCGCTTGGCGGCGAAGCGCTCCCATTTGGTGGGCTCCTTGGCCACCGGCACGGGCTTCTCGCGCGGGAGAGGGGTCGAGGGGTCCGGGAGGGAGAGGAGGACGCCCTCGGGGGTGCTCTGGAGGGGGCAGGTGGTGAGGAGCTGGTTGATGAGGGCCTGGGCACCGTCGCGGGCGGTGGCGGCGAGGGAGTCTTCGATGGCGGACTTGTCGAGCTCGAGGGGGTTGGGGTCGTTGGCCAGGAGCAGGCCGAGGTCGAAGTTGTAGGGCGTCGGCTTGTTGACTGCGACGGGCAGTTTGGGGCGCGAGATGGGAAGCGCCATTTTGTGCGTATCGTGTTTCCTCCTCGGATCGGTGAAATGTCTTTTCTGTGGGTTTGCGTTTGGGTTTCCCTTTCGAATGGGTTGAATGTGGTAGTTGTCTTATCCAGCGGTTGCGCAGCGTACTGGAAGGTGGGATACTCTAGAACTTTTTTTCCTTTGGCTGGCTGGGTTTAGGAAATTTCGACGGGCGATAGCGATAAGAATCGGAACAACTGACACCGCCACGCCGGCTATTGACGCAGCCAATCAACGCTGTAAATTGGCCGGTGCACCTTGTTCCCCAGTTCGCTGGGTGCTGCCAGGGGGTGTGGCTTTAACGTCCCGAGAATTTACCATCGAACTTTTTGGGGAGAGCTTCCCAATCGCACGACGAACCAGCAAAACTGCAAGGGCGAAGTTGTGTCGGACGGAAAACGAAACGCTGGCCGGCATTCATTCGAATGGCATCATAACAAACCAGAGCGGATACCCACCCTACCGATAATCGACTCAGGAAACCGGCGTCCTTTTCTTCCCCCAGCAATTGCACACAATGGCTTCCGCAGCGAACTGCGCGCGGTGCCTCACCAGGCCCACGACCGCCGCCGCAACAGCGCCCCGAATCCTCTCGCAGCGCATCGTCCCCGTCATCACCGCATATGCCGGCGCCTCCGCGGCCCCCTTCTCGACATCGTCTGCCGACGCCGCTCCGCGCACTCTCAAGATGATTGGAAAGCACATCCGTCGCGGCAAGATCAACCAGAACTCCAAGAAGAAGAGGGACAACGTCAGGGTCAAGAAGCCGGCCCCCGGCGAGAGAAAGGCGTTCCGCAAGCGCATCACGCTGAGCAACAACAACGCCCTGGCCGTCGAGGGTCTCAAGGAGATCACCAACGAGACGCTGGCCGCGGCGGAGAGCAAGGGGTCCGTCGTCGGGCTGCCGGATAAGCTGGTCGATCAGCTCCGGACGCTCGAGGCGTTCAAGACGACGCAGAACTGGGGCCTGTTCCGGAGGCCGCATATGCTGGTCAGGGAGGAGACTGTCAAGCTCGCGAGCCGGCTGGATGCTGCCGTCAAGGAGAAGCAGACGTTGAGATTGGCGTTGACGGGCGGCAAGATCGCGGGAAAGAGCATGCTGTTGCTCCAGGCCATGGCTCACTCACTGATGAACAACTGGGTGGTCATTAACATCCCCGAAGGTACTTACCCTCTCCTCTAACAAGCCGAGGACTATTTTGAAAAAAGCGTTCGTCACTAACCAACTAAATCAGGCCAAGACCTCACCAACTCCAACGCGGACTACAGCCCCGTGCCCAACACCAAGCCCCTCCAGTTCTACCAGCCCACCTACACCTTCAATCTCCTCCAGACCATCGTCAAGACCAGCGGCCCCGTTCTGGAGCAGTACAAGATCTCAAAGGAGTACCCCGAGCTCCTCCACGTCCCCAAGGACGGCACCCTCCTCGACATCGCCACCGCCGCAAAGGAGCCCGAATTCGCCTGGCCCGCCTTCCAGGCTCTCTGGCACGAGCTCACCACCAACCCCGCGGCCCCCCCCGTCCTCCTCGCCCTCGACGGCCTCTCTCACATCATGAAGATCTCGGCCTACCGCGACCCTGCCTACAACCTCGTCCACGCCCACGACCTCACCCTCGTCCGCCTCTTCGCTGACGCCCTCGCCGGCAAGACCCCGCTCGCCAACGGCGGCGCCGTCATCGCCGCCACCTCGCGCAGCAACGCGCCCCGCTCCCCGTCCATGGAGCTCGCCCTCGCGCAGTCCGCCGCCGCCGCCGCGGATCAGTTCGTCCCCACGCCTGACCCGTACCTCAAGGGCTACGACGACCGCGTCTACGAGGCCGTCCGCGGCGTCGAGACCCTCGACGTCAGCGGCATCAGCCGCCAAGAGGCCCGCGCCGTCATGGAGTACTGGGCTGCCAGCGGCCTCATGCGCTCGCGCATCGACGAGTCGTCCGTCGCGGAGAAGTGGACTCTTGCTGGCGGCGGTGTCCTCGGCGAGTTGGAGCGGGCGAGCTTGCTCAACACGCGCGTGTTGCAGTACTAAATCAGGGATTCTCTGTCCTGTCCAAGAAGGGGAGTCTGAGGGAGAGAGAGGAAAACGGTGTAAAGAGAGAGAACGTGTATACATGTACTAGTGTACCAAGAGATGCCTACTTGTAGAAGGGGGGGGGGGGGTAACAAAATTTTGTATTATACAACCATATCATCCAAATTTCATGGGAATTCCAATCTGTTATAACAATGTCTAAAATACCAGAAAAAGTGCGGAATCAGGCCAGAATCGGTCACATGTAGAAACGAGAGATATCTGATGCTAGTGGTTCATTATTTTTTATTTCCATCTCGGACGGGACTGGACAGCTAGTCCACTCGCAAGTGCTCCGCCAGAATGTTCTTCCTTCTCCTTGGTCTCCTTCATCTTCCTCAACAATGTCAAAACCAAAACGCCAAGTCCCAAAGGCTTCTTTTTTACGAAGCAAACTATGAGAAAACAACACAAGATTTCAGCTAACCACCAACCGCGCGATAAGACGACTACTACTACGACTCCCACATGCTCGCTCAAAATTCTCATTCGTCCCTCTCTGCGCCGTTGGAGGTGATGAAGACCAGCCTCGTACCATTTCCAGCCGTTTGCCAGACCTATTTAATGAATTATCAGCAATGTTCATCGACATATGTGTTGGGAAAAACTTACATCAAGCTCATTGTACTCCTCCAGAGCAGCAAGCCATTGGTCCTCCGTGAAGCCCTTTGCAATGACACGCTCCTTGACCTTGCGAAGACTGAGCTCGACACCGAGCTCCTCCTCGTCGTCGTCGGCGTCGTCGGCGCGGCAGGCGCCGCTGTCGGCGAGGGTCTTGACGAGGTTGTAGATCCTGCTGCTGGCATTGAGGCGCTGGCGTCCATTGGCGGCCTGCTCGGCCGCGAGACTCTCCTTGGAGGCCTCGACGAGGCGCAGGGCTTCGTCGACGTCGTCGTGGGTGACCTCGTTGCTGAAACGCAGGCGGGCGAGGGCCTGCGCGAGGCGGACGACACCGAGGAGAGTACGCGGGGTGGTGTGGGTGAATTGCTCGCCCTTCTTCTCGGCGCGCTTTTGCTGGCCACGCATGCGGACGTACGTCTTGCCAATGTACTCGGAGACGGAGGCGGGGACGACAGGTCGGTAGGTGCGGGCCTGAGCGACATAGGAGCGGACCTCGTGGGGAGAGAAGACGACTGAATCGGTGCCAATATCCGGGTGGCGCTGGTGCATGTGGACGTAGGTGACGTGCTTGGCAAGCTGGGCATCGGATTCGCGGGTCGGTGAGTCGAGAAGAAGGAAGATGATGTCGAAACGAGACAGAAGGGCGGCGGGAAGGTTGATATTCTCGACGGGGGAGATGCGGGGGTTGTAGCGGCCATAGATGGGGTTAGCGGCGGCGAGGATAGAGGTGCGGGCGTTGAGGGTGGTGGAGATGCCGGCCTTGGAGATGGAGATG